AAGAGCAATGGCTCTCACTTCCTATTGAACTGATAGACCGCATAATTGAAAGCATCACACATCGCTGTTTGTGCTGTATTGCTTCTAGAGGCAATCATATTCCATATTAAAGGTACTTTTTCTATTGCAAACCGATACTTCCAATTTGTTTATTTTATACATGTGCTAATTTCTATACTACTATTAATGTCTGATAATTTCTTTTTATGTTGTTTAATACCTTACTATGTGTTGTATATTGTGGGTAAGTTTCATAAAATTCCATGTGTAATTTCTTGAGTTATCGCGATTTTTGTGAATTTTCCTTAATTTATGATAACCAGTGTATGATATTTCAATCCTGGTGATGTTCTCGAGCTCCCAAAAAAATTTGTGGCAACATGTATGCGACTTCCTGCTATAACTTTTGTAAACTTGTACATTTCGACAAAATATAGATTTAAATTGTCGCTTTAATTTTAAAAAAAACTGCAACTCTGAGTGAGAAAGCAATTACAGGTTTGAAATCGCCGTCGTGAAAATATCCAAAATTCGTTAAAGAAAATCTTGCGCTACTGAAAAAATTGTAATTGTAAACCAGTGCGATCCACCAATTATATTTTATAATTTCATAAACGTCGTTGAACAGACGACCCAATTTTATGGGTTTACGACTACTAATGTTCCACTCCGTAACCTTGTAATTTTGAACCCAATCTGAGAAGACAAGGCAACTCCTGGATCGATCATTGGGAGAAATTTGCCTACGTGGAGGGTTTCTTGATGGAGCTAACCTGCATTTGCGTTACATGGAGAGGAAGACCACGAGAACCTCTCACGGTTAGCCTGACGGCAAAGGAACTGTAACCCATGATCCGTCTACCACTGAGGATATTTCACGTCAGCACTGTGGTCGGTGGGAGCCGCATGCAAAATTCGTATCGACTGGGATTCGAACCCGGTTCGCTGCATTGGAAGGCGAGTGCTCTATCCCCTGAGCCATCGCGCCTCCCTAAAATTATATCAAAATTTTGGAAGGCACATAACTTTGCAAGTTAAATTTTGTTTCCTTTTATAATATTAGTCGAATGGTATAGCTTAAAAATTTTGCCCTTTGTATAAAAAAATTTTTAAAAAATGTACATTTTTTATAATTTTTGGAAGACTATTTAATGATATTGAGAAGCCTTATATTCTTTCCCTAAGCGTTACACTGAGAAGAAAAAATAGATTAAAATTAAAAATAGGCTGAAATATTGCTATTGAAACAAGTGAGGTATTTTCCAACGCAATCAACCTTGAACAGGGGTGTACAACTATAGTGGTTATAGCATTCTCCTGAAATCTCGGAGATCTTTAGTTCGAATCCTACCACCAAACATCTCTCTCACAAATTTCACCCTCCACATAGTTTTTGAGACTATGCATTTTGCTAAGAAATTAATATATACTGCTTCAGTTTTCTGCATGTCGCTATACTCAATAAGGAATACTTGGGTTATTCAAATTCGACTATGTTTGTTTCGGATCTATTTTGACACACTTTTAAGAAACCCTTTAATACAGTGTATACAGTATAAATTATACTTTGAACACATAAGACTTACGTAACGATTATAATTTTCTGATTATATATTCCATCAGTTTAGTTATGACCTCATCTGGTTCAGCATAACAAATCACAATGGAAACAATCTCTCAGTTTCTTTATTATAAATGCCAGATACATAATAGCTGCGGGCAAAAATCTGTATATTCATGCATAAAAATCTGTACTTTTTATGCATGAAAACTTTAAAAACATTTAACCACAGCAGAAACAGTACCTCACTCGTCGAAATGTCAATATTTAAGAAACTCTTTTACTCCTCTCTTACCACCAGTTTAAGTAAAGAGGTAATGTAAGAAAAACAAATATCTTAAAATCATATTCATGCAATGTACTAACAGTGATAAAAATTGCATGCTTTTATAACAAAGTGCATAATTATACCATGCTACTATCCTACATTTCCCACTTCAAAAAGAAAAATCGAGCGAAATGAGGCAGAAGGCAGAATATAATTAAATTAATAAGTTCATTGACTCACTTATTATTATCCTGAGAAGGTACAGGAGAAATTCTTGTTGGAGCAACAAAAGTACTATTCCCATGGTTTGTAACGTTTTGGAAAATGCATTCTTCAGTACTGAGTGGCAGTGGAGGCTGAGTGTAGTTGGAAAATAATGCTCCAAATGAAATGCAAGACATCAAACTGTATCCCGCAATCAAAGCAAATGAAACACACTAAGTGAAAGTTATTAAAGTTCAGTGCACTAATAAATACTGCATTATTGAATATTGCATTAATAAGCATTGCATTAATAAATGTTGCATTAATAAATATTTGATTAATAAATATTGGATTAATAAGTATTGCATTAATTAATAGTGCATTAAAATATTGCATTAATAAATATTGCATTAATAAATGTTTCATTAATTAATATTGTGTTAATAAATAGTGCATTAATAAATATTGACTTAATGAATATTGGACTAATAGATATTGCATTAATTAATAGTGCATTAAAGATATTGCATTAATAAATATTGCATTAATAAATGTTGCATTAATTAATATTGCGTTAATAAATTGTGCATTAATAAATATTGCAGTCATGAATAGTGCATTAATAAATATAGCATTAATAAATATTGAATTTACATTTCCTAACCGTTCATGTTTGTTTATTTCTAGCAAAATTACCAGAGAATACTAGTTGAATATTTTTGCTCTGATATTAAATTTCATTTTTGACTTACTTCGTTATCATAAATAACACATCGTATTGTATTTCGATCTCTAAAACTTAGAGGTATCGAAGTCAAACACTGAACTAGATCAGTATTTCACAATTGAATCGCGATCGCAACGAACTATAGGGGGCGTTGTTGTATGAGACTAATACCTGCGATTTCTATATGAACAGTCATTCAGTTACTCTAGAGACGTCGTTAATGTAGCACGTAGCATTGCAACGTTCCTTCTTTATTGTGGCTAATTAAATTTAAAAAAGAAAAATGCTTGATATTCTTTCTTAATCAAACGAAAACAAAATGCTATCTCTTTTTATTAGAGAAGGAATATCCAAAACACATCGGAAAAATATTTGTACATTAACAGAAAAAGATATGTATATTCTTATAAGAGTTAAAACCCAATGCCCGATAAATAGTATTACTAAATTTAATGATATAACATGAAAGGCCCATTTAAACTTTACATTCTATAGTTTTTAGAATCGTATAATGATAAAAATTAAAATGAACAAAAAGTATACATAAGCCTCATAATTTTATGAAATTTAATTTTGTAAACAAAGTTTTTTGACAACAATTTTTATCAAAAAATTTCAAGTTTCAATAAAAATCATTATTTAGAAACTAAGAAACGTAAAATAAAGAATGCTGACGAAACAAAAAAAAAAAAAAAAAAAAAAAACAATTCTTTTTTGTCGCCATTTTTAGTGCTACGAAAATTCGTCTTTGGGATTTGCCAAAAACAAAACAAGATGCAATTTTATTTTTTCAGGAGGGAAATATTTTACCGAAAAAACGAAAATGTACCAATTCCCACAACATAAAACTTTATCTTGGTAAACGTACGTTTTGGAAATGTTATTTCATTTGGAATCTTATTTATCAGAGTTCATATGGCGATATGATTGTTTTGAATCTATGCTAAACTCTATATCGGCTCATTTTCCACCGAAATCCGATTGACTATTTTGATTTTAAATAAAGTGTTTTATTTTATGAATTGTCGCAAAAATTTTAAGTGTAGATTGGCGGCACTTAAAAACCGCCAAATCTGTAGCGGCGGTGGCGTTAATACGTAAGTACCGAATTTTTATTCCATACTTTTCTGAATCATATTACTTCAAACATTGGAATATACAAGAAGTATACATAAACACATAATGTTATACCATTTAATTTTTCAAAAAAAGTATTTTGAGAACAATTTTTATCAAAAAATTATAAACTAAAAAACGGAAAATAAAGAATTCTTAGGATAAAAAAAACGATTTTAAGAATTCTTAACATTGAAATAAAAACTTTCATATTGTTTCTTTTTTTATTATTCTTATAGTTCTTAATCAGACGTAAAAAACCATTCTGTAGAGAACCATCATCAAATGAAAAAAAAATATTTACAAGCAAATTTTTTATTGTAAAAATCATTGCACTTACCTGATTTATGATTCCCGGAGAATTCCAAAATGATAAGTTCCTTGTTTGAAAACTTTATTCTCAAATAATAGATACATAGTTTATACCTTCATTACTTTTAGATAACATACTACACAGCAAAATTTTATAATTGATATGAATTTGAATATGTAGCTAAAAACAGAATAGCTGAATTCTAGTTGAACTTATTCTTTCAAAACTAAAAAATACTTACCAAGAAAACGATTAAAATTAATTAAGAATCAGCACAAATGGCACTATTTCAAGTAACTTGGATAATTTTTTATTGTTGTTTTCCGAATTATATGGATACAGAAATATATACTATTCTATAACGAAGAAGAATATGCTATAACTATTACAATTCTGTATGTTCTGAATTCATATTTATTCACTGGAATGACGAAAGCAATGTTGACTTCACTTTAATTCGTAATGAATTGAAGACAGAAGAAATGCATTTTACCTTAATACACACATCTGTAACAGTATCCGAAATCGGAAGTCATCAGTTGCAAGTTATTGAGGAATTTTTCTTCAAATGTTTGGCGTGTTCTGTTCCTGAAAGATTTACTAATATTCTGGAGATTTTTTTCAAGTTCTTCGGCCTTTTCCTTAGGGAAATTTTGTTTCTTATTTGCTGCTAAAAATGGCGTCTGATTCAGTCAATGATTTCGATGGAACTAAATGAAAACGTGATAAATTAATGTCTGATATTTACAGGCTCCCGCTAGACGGCGTACTCGAGCGTTGCGATCGCGAATTGTTTGGAAAATTCGTGTTCTTTTCATACTAGAAACGTATTCCTATTGGATGCATGTTTATGCGTACTTCAACTACTTGGTAATGGATTTCCAATGAACCAGTAATTGAAATAGGCTTAGACGTCTCTAATATGATCAGTTTTAAATTTTGTAATAGCAATAAAAATTAGGAAATAAATCACACAGCAAAGCATATTGAAGAGTACAAAATATTTTTAAAAAAATAAATGGACGGAATTAAGTTTCTTTTTCCGAAAATTTTCAAATGCAAATAGTGAAAAAAATTTCTTTTCTGAAGTAAAGAAATGAAAACTAAATGTTACTTAAGAGAAATTACCTTATCTGAAGCCTTCGTTGTCAGAACTCCAACTATGAAGACAGCTAACATTGGTCCTTCCTGAGAACTTATTAATACCTGAGCTAACTGCTGGAAACTCTTAACTCCAATAAAGCAAAAACTGAGGGCTATACAAATTCCTCCGTAAACCAATGCTTGAATTAAAAAAATAAGAAGACATAGGCATGTTGCAAAAGTAAGTAAATTTAATAAAAAGATTAGTAAATAATACGACATTTTACTTAAATTTTCCCTCCAACTTTAAATTTAATAACTATGAAGTGAACAAAAAATATATTTTATCCGTGTATTTTTCGGAGGTATAGACGTTACTTGAAAACTTATTAGGGTAAAAATATTCTTGAGGGTGCCCCTTGCCGAAACTGGCGACTTATGTTTGGCGAGATTCCTGTTTGCGAGGAACACCGTGGCAACAAGAATGGCGAACAAAACATCGGCCAAAGCTTTATAAAATTGCATTCAATCCACTATAAAATTAATAAACCCAATAAAATGCATTTTGAAACAGAACAAAAATTAATGGAGTAATCACAGAAAATAAAGGAAGAAAACAACTCACTTCTTCATTAAGCTTGAATATCCTCAGATTTAGGTGCACAGAATTCTCTAATGGCAGTTAGATACTGTCTAAATTTATCATGAATAGAATCGTCACATAAATTCGGCGAAATACGAATCGAAAATGGCGTCTGTGGTACCGGAATGGCAGTGACATTTTTTTCTGAAGTCCTTTTTATGACTGCCCGCATACCTTCGATCTTATTGACCAGAAGCAAAAGTAACCTTACTAGCCGGTTTCCAACGTCGAACTAACGGATCTCTGAAATTACATACGCCGTTGAAAATTTAAAAATAACGCTAAACGCTAAAATCTAAACCAATGAGAATCACGATTGGGTTCCAATATCGCCCAGTCTGGCGATGAACCGCGATCACAACTTGGCGAGAATCAAGGGGCACACTCAAATATAGCATATCCCTTACTAATATGAGCAACTCATTAACTTACTTAAATAAACAATTTATTAATTTCATATTGCACTTTTTAGGTTTTCATATGATTTTTGTATTTATAAGCTAAATTTTATCTCGCTGTTGCATTAGATTCTCGTATAGATCATAGCGGGTATCTTATAAATGAATAGCGAATTAAAAAATCAATTAAAAAAAGGCAAAAAGCGATAACAAAGCAGGACCAACTGCATTATGATTGGGAAACTAGAGTTGCTCAATAAGTTTCAAAATTAATAACAAACGTCATGAATTAGTAACGGTTATAATCAGAAAAATCTAAAAAATCCTATTTTTAAAGTAACTACCATTTGCAGTGTCACCAGAGCACAATATAAGATAAAAACTGTCATATAAAAGTGGAAATATTTTCAGTTAGAATGGTTTGACTTGCCGAAGCTGATTTTTAAACCTGATAAAAATTATGTATATATATAATTATTACATTAACGTATCTTATGCTGATATACCCTTAAATCAAATGCGAGAAAAAGAATTTTTCTAACTTTTGTTTCACTATAGAAGAAAATCGTCAGCATGAAAAATTATTTATTATTCTTTCATCTGCTTTCTTTTTAATGCGAACAGAGAAACGTATATTTGTCATGATTTTTAGATATCACTTTCATTAATTCTTAATAACAAAACAATAGCTTTTCTTCAATAAGTTTTATTTTCCTCATTTCACACGATTTAAGGAAACAACCAAAAAGAAGGCCGTCCAACGTCATTTTAAGAGTTCTCGATGTTGATATACGAAACTCAACGCAAAGGTCTAATTTTAAGCTATAAATATTGTCTTTTTGCAGAGGTCTTATGCACGCTTTGGAACAAGCAAATAGGTTAGAGTTTAGAAATAAAGTAACATTTTAAAATTAAATTGTTTTAGAAGTCACCAATTGGATTATACTTTTACATCTAGGTACAATGACTTATCGTGCAATTTCCATCCGTAGCATAGGTGGCGTTAGCTAAAGAAAGGCAAAGTTCAACATTAGAGTCACGGATAGCTGTTATAAACTCACACAGTTATAAAAAATGGTATATTATTCGCTCAAGGGATAATTTCATGTCATGCTAGAGCCTTAGAAAAACAGCCTTAAATAAAACGCCCATTTCAGAATACGTACATAGTATTTTAGCACACCAAACAACTTGTTTATCAGACATGTTACCCTTTCTGTAAAGTGGCTTTATGATATCTACCACTGTCACACTGGCTATAGAGTTCAGACACGAAGATATAGTGCTGAGAGCAGCACTAAAAAGACCTGCAATACACAGTCCTGTCATACCAGGGATCCAATTGAATGTATTTATAATATAAGCTGGAACAATCTGGAAAGAAGCAAAATAAAACGTAATTTTAATCGCTGTTACATTAGTACAAGCTGTCACAATTCAGACTGAGAAATTATAAAAAATTATAACAGGAAAGTGGTAAAATTTAAGAAAAATATCTACTAATTCTCGTAAAAGGGCTTACATTTCTAAAGTTTCTGTTTTTAGTTCAAAACTTTGCAAAGAGATTGCTCTACTACAAATTTATCTTTTAATTACTACATGTGATTTCAGCTTGTTGTCAGTACACATTTAAAGGAAATATAAGGATATTTTCATTTGTTAAAGGATTTCAATAAATTTTAAAATGGCTTTCAAATAATTTCTTTAATTTTCACGTTTAATACTTGCAATGTGCCTTCTGCTGAACTGAATCCAGAATCCCTGGAATGAAATATTTATGCTCTGGTGCGTAAGCATGCATCAAAAGTTTATTAATCTTAGCCATGTACCAGTTATGAAGTTTGGAAAACCATCCGTCTAATTAAGGATAAAAAAATTTTACGCGAAAAGAAACTTTTAATAAAAACTGCTATTGTTGCTTCAAATAATAAAAAATAATACCACCATGGAAAACTCAGTCGTTAAATTAGAACGCATTTTTTCTAAAAAAAAAAAAAACAATGAGAAAGTAAAATGTCCGTATTAAAAACACTTTAAATCTTTATTTCAGTTAATCTCTGTAACTTTTTGAACTTAATAAGTTAATTCCGAGGGAAAAAATTGAATAGTTGCTAATAAATAAATTTTACATTAACCTTTTGCATTCGGCTGGTATAATAGTTGGACTTGATTCAAACAGTTCATCATCATAAGCAAAAAACTGAAAAAATATTGTTGATTTATCGCTTGAGTTTCCTAGATGGCGCACTAACCTTATTATGCATAGTATTTGGCAGTCGCTATTAAAGGAAATAATGATAACTGTCCTAGATAGCCTGGTATGTTGGGTGTTTGACCCATGTCCAGGAGGACGTGATTTTGATTCTCGCCTGCCGAAGACTCTCAGTGAATGGTGACTGATGCTCGTTAAATCTGTCAGGTCATTAAATCCTTCATGTTCCCATAAAAAATCAATACTGAAAAGCAAATACTTATCAATACTGGGTTACTGAATTGTGATTGTTCGTTCTTTGGTTCTGGTTCAGGTCAAAATTATGATATGTAGATGTATGAAAGGGTCCCCCTTGTAAACGGGCTGTGACGTGGGTGTGCCTAAAGTATTATTCGTGGCCATAGATGGTGCCACTGAAAAATAAGAAACTCGCCCCTTGCCTTTAAATTCGCCTGGTTTAACAACAGGCTTGCTTATATTGGCAAGTAGCAGAAGAAACAACAACGACGACGATAACACATTTTGTTTTTGAACTTTTATTTTATTTTAATATTTTTTTATTTATTTTATATTTACCGATGCCATAAGAAAGCTGCCACTTAGTAATTAAGCTGGGACGTCATCTACCTTACTCAAGAATCAAAATCCTCCAGATTGATAGACTTTATGGGCAAACATATGAAGTTGTGCTTATAAAGGTAATAATTTTTTAGCTTACTGATAAGAACACTTACTTGATCATATCTTTCCACTCCTGTTTCATTCTTGTTTAAAATCGGATCACATTTGTAGTAAATGGAGTATAATATTACGCCTAAAATACTGTTCATAACATATACAAGAGTCATCGGTAAAATACTCATTTGTAGTGTACTGAAAAAAAATATTTTTGTTTCGTCAGAAATGCAGTAATGAGTATAGCGTCACTATGATTTGTAGTTATAAAAGAAGGTAAAAGGAGTGTAACCACAGATTTCGAGTTGTCAAACTGAATTTTAAGTTTGTGATCTTCATTTTGGTCACCAATGTATTGTGTTGTAAATGTAAAACAAAAATAATGCATTATTTGATCACCATCTTTAATCTCAATGCTCTGAAGTTTGCTTACTTAGAATTATTTGCTTATTAGGTTTTTGTTGCTGTTAAAATGAAAATTCCTAAAGGACAATTTAGTATCCTAAAGGACATGAATTACTGTTATTTTAGGGCTACATTAAAGCAGTGTAATCACAGACTTCGAGTTGACAAACTGATTTTAAGTTTGTGATCTTAGTTTTGGTCACCAATGTATTGTGTTGTAAATGAAAAACAAAATAATGCATTATTTGGTCACCATTTTTAATCTCAATGCTCTGAAGTTTGCTTACTTAGAATTATTTGCTTATTAGGTTTTTGTTGCTGTTAAAGTAAAAAATTCCTAAAGGACAAAAATATTTCGTGAATTATGGTTATTTTAGGGCAACATTGGCTGATTCATTTTATTACGTTTTTTAATAGTAAAAATCAGCAGAACTGTTTTTTTCTTATTTTTTTTACTTCGACAAAGGGTTGAAAAGATTTTACAGATCGTAACTTTTCGAATAATCTATTTCTTTATTTTTGGCAATCATTTTACCACTATTTTACGTGCTTTTTGACTAACTCGACCTTTCAATTATTTTTTAGGAAATTTTTTCCTTAATTTTAATCTTAGTACCCTCTGGATACAAACAGGTTTAAACCAATTTTGAAACCATTTACTCTAAAACCTAATAAATGGTACAGGGCTCGCTTGGCAAGTAAGTTAAGTTCTTAGCCATAAGTGAGAACTTTTATCACTTTATATTTTCCAACAATACAGTAAAAACAGGATTTAATCCTCATCGCTTAAAAAATGCTCTACGCAGAGAAAAATTTAAAAATCTCTTCTTAATAAATAGTAAAAAACTATACGACGATATTTTGGTTCCATCGATAACTGCATTGGCACTAAGCAAAAAGTTTTGGGTGCAATCTGAGCATTTTAGCAAAATTGAAAGTTGGTCGACTTTTCAAAAATAATAGCTTATATTTAACGATAAAATAATTATAAATCTTTAATTCTATTTGTTTTAGTTGCGATACGTATTAAACTTTATTGTCATCAGACTAGGAGCTCCAGTAATTATTTTAGCACTCTTGCTTATCGGAAACTGATTGGTATTTCAATAGCAAGTTTTACCCACACATGCATGAATAAGATTTAATGAAAATGTAGTAATAAGTTTAAAACTCACGATTTGGCTCTTTGAGAAGTACTTAAACTGAGTACTCTTTGAACTTCCACTTGATTAGTTCCATAATATGAAATACCAAACATAATTCCTCGACAGAAAGAACCCCAAAAACTTAAGCGTTTCGTAAAGTTCAGCCGGAGACTAAGGANTAGATTTGCTTCGTAGCTGTGACATATATATAACTGTGATATATATATATATATATATATATATATTAAAATTGCTACACCAGGAAGGAATGCAAACAACAGTATGATATTCATTGGGCACATACATATAGATGAAATAACAAGTGTTCCCCCCTGGCAACATTAACAGCAATTATTTTCCTGGGCATCGAGTCGAACAGAGATTAGATAGCATGGACGGGAACAACATGCAGCTTCAACATTATGCCCAATTCATCGACCGTAGTGACTGATGAGTTGTGGCGTGCCAGTCGTTGGGTAACCATTGACCAGAGGTTTTCAGTTGGTGAGAGATCAGGAGAACGTGCTGGCGAGGGCAACGAGCGAACGTGTTCTGTGTCAAGGAAGGTCAGGACAGTGCGGGCAACATGCAATCGTGCATTGTCCTGCTGATACGTAACATTATGGAATCATCGAAGATAAGGTAGCGCAACTGGCCCTTACACATCAGAACTGTAACGTCTTAATCTTATATTCACCATAGAATAAAATCAACCTCATCATTCAATTTTTTTTAACATCGAATTAATAGAACTAACACAAAACGATAAAAGTTGCTTAAAATAAAAACTCATAGATAATAAAGGTTGAAAAAAATTATTTTATTGGAGGGAGGGGAATTCTATTTTAGTTCTTATGTAAAAAATGTTTTTTTTTTCAGAGTGATAAAATGATACATAAATAAAGGGCAATTTTTAACTCAAATTTTTAAAAATGTTAAGCAGTTAAAATTTTAAAGTATGGATATTTTTAAATAAATTAAATAAACATTATTCAAGCATTTGTATCAAAATAAATTAAATCAATTGTTAAGTACATTAATATTTAGTAATTAAATTTACAATTATTATAATAATTTATAAAAATTAAATTTATATAATAATTACTTAAAAATATCAATATAAATTACTTAAATAATGAAATAAACCAAATTATACAATTATTAAAGCAATTATATTAAAATTATAAAAAAAAATAATTAAGAATTCCTTTATTTTTTCTTTGAAGGTCAATAGGTTTGAATGTTAAAATTTTTCTATAATAATAATATAATAATGAACAAATAAAAGACAAAAGATTATAGTTTCAACTATAGAATTTTACAAAAAGCTAAAAAAATAATAATATTCTTGTTTAAAATGAATGCAATTCCTTTATTTTAGGAATGAAAAACTTCTAAATTATAATACTTTTAATTTTAGAATTTTTAAGAAGTTTCATTTAGTACATGAAGAATTTTCAACAGATTTTTTTAAAAATAACTTACTTTATTTTAGTTTCTTATTATAAAATCATTTAAAATACATTTTAAATTTCGTACACTAATCACAATGAGTTTTTTTTAATTTATCACTCTCGCTATTTTAGAATTAACTTCAAAGAACTTATTAAAACTGTGTTTTTTTAGCAATAAAATGTCTAAAATAATTTTATGTATAAATAACATTTTGCTTGCTCTAAGCAACAATAAAGCTTACTGCCAATGTAAAAAATAGTCTTTAACATAATATTACAATCAGGATCTTATTTTAGTCTCGTATTATAAAAGCATTTAAAGTGCATTGCAAATTTAGTACACTAATCGCAATGATTTTTTTTTAACTTATCACTCTCGCAATTATTTTTAGAATTAACTTCAAGGAGCTTATTAAAACTGAGGTTTTTAAGTAATAAAATGTCTAAAATAATCTTATGTATAAATAACACTTTGCTTGATCTAAGCAACAATAAAGCTTACTGCCAATGTAAAAAAAAATAGTCTTTAACGTAATACAGTCAAACCCCGCTATAGTGTACCTTCAAGGGATCGAAATTTCGGTTCACTATAACCGGGAGTTCACTATATCCGTTACGCAGGCAACTCCCAAACTCCCCCCTTTTATTACATTATATTCATATAAATGACTGAAAAATATTATGTAGTAGCAAAAAATGCGTTATTTTTCATCACTCTTCGTCTTGCGTACAAATAAAAATTAGTATTCTTAAGCTGATGAGCAATCCTCAACATCAGATATGGAAACACTTCCCGACTCTCAGATAATTATTCCTGAATTCCGCTTTTTAAACCTGTCTAACCTGCCATTCGAGCACATAAAAGTAGTTTCTATAGATGGTTTTAAACAACGGTATATGTATTTATTTTAAAGTAGAATTTTCAAAATTATTACAAAGGAAATAGAGGGGGGGGGAATCAGTCGAAGACAGAAAAAAGTTTATTATATCCAACTTCCTCACTTTTTTGGTTCACTATATCCACTAAAAATAACATTATACGCGTATAGCAAGGCACGGGACCGAACATTTCGTTCACTATATCCGGGAGTTCACAATAAGCCGTGTTTAGTTTCTTATAGTTCCTTATTATAAAAGCATTTAAAATGCATTGCAAATTTAGTACACTAATCGCAATGATTTTTTTTTTAATTTATCACTCTCGCAATTGTTTTTAGAATTGACTTCAAAGAATTTATTAAAACTGCGTTTTTATAGTAATAAAATGTCTAAAATAATTTTATGTGTTGCCTTAAACAACAATAAAGCTTACAGCCAATGTAAAGAATTTGTATTTAACATAATATTACAATCAGGATCGGGTTTCGTCAGATTTCAACAGCTTTTTTGTCGTTTTTCCTTCAATTCCCTTGTGTTCGATTCCCAAAATTCGCTCTTACGAATTTTCAACAAGAATTCTAAAAATACATTTCGTGTCCGTTATTTCATAATATCCTGCACAATAATGAAAAGTGCTTACTCAAACAGATCATTCAATCGTCCGCCATCTCTTGAACGTATATAAATGTCTGCTATGCCTCCGGCTTCTTTAATACCAACTGCGTATAAGGCTACCAAGCATAATATTATGAGCATTGCTTGGAATACATCTGTCCAAAGAACAGCTCTTAATCCTCCCTAAATGTATTTAGGAATATTTTTTAATCATATTAACAACAAAAATTTATTCGAAAATTTTTATTATTAGCCTAATTGAAAAAATAACAGGTATGTAGAGGTAGTAAAAACAATATATCCTATTTTCAAAGAAAAGGAAACTAACACTCTCAAAACCAAAAATGCTGCCAACTACTTTAAGCAAAAGTGGTGTAGTAAAATACCATGCATAACTCTTGGTTCTAGTGTTTTCCTATCCCAAGAATATTCTTTTACGTAGCATGATGCAAATTAGCAGTCACGGCTTTTGTTACGCAGTAACACTAAAATTTGTAACTACAGTAGGATATGATACACATAAGAGTCATTAAATTTATTTTTGAAATTCAATATAAAGCAAGAATATTTAATTTGAAACGTATCTATACATTGTTTCCTAAAATTAAAATAGTTTGTTAATCAAATGTACACACAGCGCAGAGAAAATATCAGTAGGAAATCGAATTAGGCTTAACAAAATAGAAGCGGATATATATAAAATAATATAAAATTAGTTTTTAACAATTTTCAGATTTATGTAAATAGCAATAAATGAATAAAAAAATTATTAAAATTTAACATTTGATTTAATGCTGTTTCATGAGATAACAGTCGCCTCATGGAAAAACGCTTTTCAGCTCTTGAAAAACGATATTTTTAGATGTGAGTTTAAAACAGCTGTTTTAAACTCAGAACAAATTAAGCATGATACATTAATTAAGTTTGATACTTAAATTAAGTTTGATACATCTATTATTAGCATATTTAATGCTAAATATGAAATGGCGCGAAACATCAATATGAAGAGACGCATAGAATTATGAAAATGAAAATTTTCTTTTAGCTAATTTTTAAGTAACAGAAACGTTATTACCACACTTAACACCTCATCATGAAGTCCGAAACAAATCATGTTATTTAGATACGTATAAATTAATAATTATTTCTTGTTCTTAACTAACTTCATCTGAGAACCAATTGCATTTTGCCAAATCATCATTTTTTAAAATTCTTAATGACCTTCTTAAATATTTAACATTTATTTTTCTTATAAAGTTTAAACAGTTCTTAGCTATAATATAGTCTTCAGAATGTAGTATGAATGATTTTTTTTTATTTAAGACATTCAAATTGTGTATTTTTTTAAATTTTTTTCAGAATAAAAAAACTCCTTAAAACATTAAATATTTACATACTTTTTTAATATATTTTATAGCCGTCGTTGAACAGCCGACCCCCTTTTGAGTTTGCGAGTACTTATGCTCATCTCCGTAGCCTTATAATTTTGATCTCAATCCAGAAGACAAGGGAACAAGGGTTATATGGAGAAGAAAACCACAAAAGTTGAGGTGTAAAATTTTGATGATAATATAATAATAATGATTTATATTAGTTGAAGAAAAGAATTAAATAAGATAATTTTTAAATATTAGAAAATATGTTATGCATATTTTTGTTTAACAATTTGAAACCCTGTTTAAAACCCATTCAATCTTATAAACCTACGTCTATTCCACATCATTCAAAATCTTACATGTTCTTAGATTAATGAAATTCACGGAATTATAACAACCTAAATATTTATGTGAAATAAAGAAAACTTACTATGGAACAATATATAGTGCAAATGATCCCTAATGATATCATGGAAATTTCAAGAGATATATCTGTGACAGCGCTCAAGGCTAGTACGGATCCATACAGACAAATAACCATGTAAAACATCTAGAAACAAAATGCGATTTATTTTATAAGTATTAAATAATATTTTTCAATGGCGAAAAAAGTTCGCAATGGTAGTTGGTAGTTACCATTTGCACAAGAAACAGGATTGAAACAATGTACCTTGTCATTCTTCCAAAGCGTATCTCAAGAAACTGAAAATAGCAAAGTAATAATCATAACGTTAGTAATTTTTGAAAATTAATTTATTTATTTATTTATTTATCTTTTTATTTACTTATTTATTTCTTAATTTATCTATCTATCAATCAATCCATCCATTGACCGATTCATTCATTCAATCTTTATTCACCCACTCATTCATTCATTCATTTAATCATTCATTCATTCCTTCAGTTATTTATTTATTTGAAAAATACATATCGACTGAATCCAATTGTTATGCTAAAGTCCTTACATGAAAGTCGTTTAACAAATTTGTAAATCATATGTAGCATGTGCAAAAGAGAAATTAATAATAAATAAATGAATAAATAATAACGGTAAACCCTAAAGATTTTTTGACTAGTGATCGGGAATTTTTCATTTAGTAAGATTTAATGGTAATAATTCACAGGCCTAACAAATATGCTAATTAATTAGTGCAAATAGTATTTTATGCTACGAAACAAAACATAAAAACGTACTTTCTCTGAATAAACATAATTTTTGAGACAAGTTTGGATTTCTGGCCCTCAAAATATAAAGGAGATGGCTGCAATCTGTAAAACACGGTCCCAATAGTTTATGGTTCTGATGGTCAGGAATTCGGTCAAAAGTTAGTACCCCTTAACATTAATCTTACTTTTTGCGTAATTTGCCTAATCTCGAGAACTATTTCGACGAAAAAGAAAATTTGCGCACGTAGTTTAAATCGTTATTATTACCAATTTATACGTGTCATTCTCATGCATGCAATTTTAAAAAGCAAAATGAAAATTTAAACGAAATCAGTCGAATAGTTCATGTGAAATCGAATTTTAATTTAGTCCCATATTTTAGATACGATATCTCGGGATTATAAATTTTATATTTAAAATTCGATTCCCTAAAATGACGTCACAACTTGAATGCCTAAAAAAATTATTTCGTTTAAGTTTATAATTATTTATGATGAAAAATAATAAACAACTTTTAAAAATTATTTTTCGCATGGAAATACTTTTGAATAAGCGAATTTTATAATTGTGTGTAAAAATGTTCGGATTTGTCTTAACGTTCTTCAGATATGAAAAATATTCAAGAACGAAAATTAACACTACGATGACCAATCTCTTGACCAAACTATTAGGACATATTTTCCAGATTGCTATTATTCTGAGGATCAGGAATCATATTCCGTCGAAAACAGATATGTTAATTTAGAGAAATTTCATCTTTATGTCTAATTTCGTAACTCAAATTGTCTGCATTAACTAATTTGCATATTTGAGGTCACCCTTTAAACTATTAAGTCCTAGTACGTTAGCATATGATCACTTAGTTAAAAGTACATTTAGGGTGTTCCAAGTTTTTTAATGCACGCTAGTTTATATTAAATGGTTATGTTCGTTGTATTTACCATCGTTTGATGTTTATTGTTTCTTATTGTGTGTTTACCGAAATCAGTTCATCCATTTGCAAGATTTTTTTAATTTTGAAATCGATAAGCAATTTCTTAAAAATGAAAACAGTTTTTCAAAAATTGTCTAACTTCTGGAAAGAGCAATTTAAAAAAAAAACGCACACTACGAAAAAAATTTAAATAAATCTCTTTTTTTTATTTAGGTCAAGAGTATACGCATTTTATATCACTTTTTAGAAACATAAACTGAAATAAGTTATCAAACAGAAACGGAACAATGGTAAGAAACTTTAAATAAATATTTCCATTTTAATTAGTTACGCTTTTTCAGGTCTTGAACGTTGTCTAAAAAGAGCTCTCTTTATATTTTTTAAAACCTTTCAGAATTTTGAGACATATTTCGTAGATTTTGTACAAAAGACATATTTGAGACAAAAATTACAAAATCGAAAGGCAAATTTAACAGAATAAGGGATTTTTATGCAATGTTCTTATTTATCACAGTAAAATTGTAAAATTTTACATCATTTGCACAACTTTATCACAGAGCCACATTTTAATGGTAAATTTACTAAAATTATTACCTTCGATAAAAATTATCTATCCTTTTAGTGTTCCCATAGAGCCAGAAACACGGTAAGTATTACCATATTGTGATAGTTTGACCATACGTTTTCTCAGTGTATTTAAGCAATAATTAATTAATTTTATATTTACCTCATAAATCGTTGAAACTCCACACTGAAAATACACTGGTATAAATATCCAAGATGCTAGAAACACTCCGATTGGAAAAGCAAGAGGACTCATTACAAAAACAAACCCATACTTGTAAATCTCGGCTGGAACTGCCAGCATTGTTGAAGGTGATACAAGAGTTACGATAATAGATAAAATCACAGGAAGCCTTTTCATATTCTTTCCAGCCAATATATATTCTTTTGCAGTTTTTTGACCACCGGATAATAATCTTGATGTTATTCCAATACCTACCGATATCAATAGCGATGAACATATTACGATATAATCTGTTATTCCTAGATATTTTTTATCAAGCATTATAGTGAGAGTTTAGATAGTAAGTGCTCAAAACCATATGATTTTTCTTTGAAAAGGAAGTAAATAAAGACATCAGTATTTATTAACAGATGAAACTTAGACAAAGGATTCAACAGAGAGAAAACCAATAAATAAAATTGTCTTAAATCAAAAGAAGAATTACTGTAATAATGATCGTCTTGACAGTTAGTGTATTCAACTTCAAATATTTCTGGAGAATATTCCTAATAATGTAAGTTAATTAGGCTGTTTTTGTCATTATTTTAGCCGACATACTTATGTGTATAAATCTGTAAGTAACGATTATTTCTGTCCACGTTACATTCAAATTTGTTATTTAATGTCATTAAAAAATCCTTCATTCTTGCACGTTTCATTCTTTGTTAATAAAATATAAGAATACAAGAGAAATTTATAAGCTAAGTAGTCACAAAAATAGAAAAAAGTTTTTTTTTTATTTGTTTTTTTTTTTGTTTTTCTATACGTAGATGCTTTTCTATAAGTTGATTATAATTTTTTTTAGCTAGTTGGACCTTCAAGACGCAGCTTTTTTCATAACAATATTGAAACCCCTTCTTAAAAAATTAAGAACAGTACAAAATCTACATATTAAATTCGATTCTGCATACCTAACATATCATGCAATAGAACCCGATAAACTACTCGATAAGACCCTACATATTATCTAATTCTACAGACTCAGAATTTGATGAACATGAGTGTTTTATCTGCGAAAATTAAATACAATACAACTAAAACTAATGACTGGATAAAAAGTGTAAATTGCACGCAGTAGCTCCATGATACATGTACAAACTTTGAAGATCTTCGCCAAAAACGTTTTTTTTTTCGAAAGTTGATGAGTAACTCTGCACATTATATTTCATTTATTAGATTCTTTTTACTTATTTTACAAAATAAAATCCTTTCTTTACAGCACGTTGTAAGTTTTTTAAGGTTAACTGCATTAAATGCGTTATTTTTTATCTTTTAATTTCACTCTTCCTTTACTGTATTAGATGACCATATTTCGTCGATATTATGGAGAGATGGCCACTTCTTAGCTTCAACTTAAAGATTTTTCTTTCTTATTTTGTTCTCAACATTTCATCATTTTTTGCTCAAAATATGCTGAGTAAAAGCATGAGAATTTAATATATTTTTAAACAATGCTTGTATCTCTATTCTCATTGCTTTTATTTCCTTAGATGTAGGTTAGGTATAATTTTGATGATATGTATATTATAGAACAGGTATAAGTACAATTTTGTATCGGTTAAATACCTCGTCATTGAAAATCTGTTTATTTATTTAGTGTTTCCTAATAAGCTTAGAGGTTTTTTTCAGCCTTCACTCTCAGAAATAAAATATTCGCTTTTGACAATTCAGCAATCCTCGAGCTATATTTCGTTAACTTTGAGAATCATTTCGTCACGAAATCATGTGATTTGTGACGAAATGCGAACTCTCAAATATATCACGAAAATCTTTCTTGATTCGAAACTTCATTGTAGTGCATTGTGGGAGATTGTTAACTAAAATGACGAAACTAGAAAAGCGACTATACGATCAAAAATAAAGTGACGGAACAAGCCATTAGAGCCTCGAACAAGCCAATGAGACTCGAACCAGAAGGATTACGGGTTCAAATCCCATTTTGTCCAATCCATCTATCTGTCCTTCTCTTGTTTGCTTAGGTGACATTGGTCTACTTATATAGTGACCGCGATGAAGTGATTATAGGAAATTTAAATACATTGAAGCCCACGAGATTTAAAAAAAAAAAAAAAAAAANAAAAAAAAAAAAAAAAAAAAAAAAAAAAAAAAAAAAAAAAAAAAAAAAAAAAAAACAGAATTACGAAATACTTCTTTAATTTGGATGAAATTTGTTTCCTTGAAATTGTGACGGCGGTTATTTCGTCACTTTGACGACATTTTTGCCAGGAGCATATAAAAAAAAACGGTTTCATCAAAAACGAAGAAAATTTCCTGAAATTTGAACATCCATTTCTTATTGTTTTAAGCTTTTTGGTAAATTTTATAACTCAAATGATTTAAAACGACCATTTTTGAACATTTTTTTCAAGATTTTCTTTCCAAAGAGTTTTTTTTTCCAGAAAAATTCTTCAATGTAATATTTTTGTAATGTAATATGTTTGTAATGTAAATTGTATTGTGGTTTTACAACAAAAATCTTGCTTTAAATTACACATTATACAATAATAATAATCTTTATTAAAGTTGAATAAATTTATATACTTCCTAAGCTTTTATTGATAATTCAGCTGAAAATTAAAATAATTACTCTCAGAAAAATTGTGTATTTAAAAGTACCAAAATATGGTAAAATTTACAATGTTTCTAGCTTTTTGAGAACACCATAAAGTCCGATAATTTTTACCGCAGCGGTTTGGTAATGATTTAGTAAAATTAACTATAAAATATGGTTTTATCATGTGTGATTTAATTTGGTAGTTTTATCATGATTCCCTATAGCACGCATAAAAACCATTTAATTGGGCTAGTTACTTTTCAGTTTTGTATTTTTTTCTAAATGCGCGTCAATATCAGATATAATTTTGAAAACCCGAATTTCCGGTAAATCGTTATCATATAAACGGAAAAAATACCGAATAAATAGTTTAATATGTATATTTTTGTTTTTATATTACTAGAAATATGTTGTGATTTTACTAGAAACATCAGTACAATAAAGTATGATAGTTTTATCAGAATTTTTTTCGTCAGTGTAAGTTTACTGTATTTGTACCAGCAATTAGTTATGTCAATAATAAAAATTTATTAAATTTAATTCATTGTCCTTAAGTTTTGTTCACTTTTAGATAAAATCGTTTTCTTTGTAAAATGTCAATTTCAGTACATATATGCCAACACTATTGCTTGTTGATAAGAAGATAATTATATTTATTTACGGGAGCAGAAGAGCAAAATTAATCCTACCACTAAGTCTCAATAATTAGCTTAAGGAAATAAGCATGATTTATTAATTGTTTGATTTATGAAAGCCTAATAGATTTCCAAATTAACTGATTAATTGCAGAGAATGTCATTATTTGACATCGCATTTACTATAGTAGAGTATTGATCATAAATAGCTTTAATTTCACTGAAAAGAAAATTATTAGTCGGAACAATGGAGGAAAAACTACTTTCTTACACGGTGTGCTTTTTATTCATTGATAATTTTTTGTTGTTATTTTTCGTATCATTTTTCAAAAGTGTGTGATAGGAGAAAATAAAAAGATTTTAATCTTTGATATCTGAAAAAATGCTGAAGTATTATTATTTTAGTACTTTAAGTATTATTGTTTTATTAATGCTAACACTTGTACTAAAATAGAAATAAGACATATATAAAATCTTTACAATTAAAATATGAATGTGTGTTTGTCCCCTGATGGAGTACTGTTTTGCAAACACACATTTATATTTTCATTTTTATTTTAATTGTAAAGATTTTATATATGTTTTACTTCTATTTTACAAAAAACAAATTTGGTTTCAGCTGCCTCGTGCACTTTTCCGATTTGATTTAATGATTTAATGCTTCAATGTGTTTATTTACCTTTTATGTATCAAAATTGACTTCGTAAATTGAATTGATTATATGATTAGACTTGTACTAAAACTAGTACCTATCGTTATTTTTAAATCGGCAATAGCAATAAATAAAAAAAGGAAGAATTTCAAATTAATAAATATTTATAATTCTTGATGTATTCTTATAAGAAATCATTATGAGTGTCTTTCTGCTTTTGTTCTGCTTAAGCTAGAAGGCGAACAAAAAAACATTAATTATTTTTCAACGTATTTATTCATATAAGGCAGAGAATAAATAAAAAACATAAACAATGATGGTTTAACTGTTCACATCTGAGACTTTGATGCTCTAGTATCGTTAGTTTCTTTTTCATGCTTCATTTCCAGTGGTTTGCACAAATCCTTCATCCAAATTCGAGTAACTGGACTAAGACAAATAGAATCTTCCGGAATAACATTGTTTTTCCATCCTATAAAAATTATTGCAAATAATTTAATAAAACCAATATATTACAAAAGAGAGAGAGCATCGTGATCACCTTATTGCAATAACTGGTTAACCATTGGTCAAATGATTTTTTCTGAGTAGACTTTTGTACAGCACAATATTTCAAGTAATGGGGTGCAAAAACTGCATCAAATGAAGGTTGCGTTCTTGTCATCCAATAGGCTGAATTGGTTTTCAATTGGGTACTTACACTTCAAGAAGAAGAACATGGATACTCACTAGAACTGGGCGATATAAGATATTTTATATCGTGATGCATCGTCAGTTTTGCATCGCGATATAGCGATGTATCGCGATATAGTATTTTTGAAATTCCTTTACTTGTTGAATGTCGGATTTCTATCAAAATTTCATACTCAGATTGATTTAAATCAATTTATGAATTTGATGTATATGTTGATGTGTATGCATTCAACTGACAATATTGAAAGAAAATTAAAAAAAAACACGATTATACTCTTTAATAAAACGAAGTGCTAAAAAAAAGAAGTCGCAATAGCAAGCATTACTAATTAAACAAAGTTGATTGACTTATATCGAAATCCAAGAGAGGAAAAATAAGTTTTGTTATAATTTTATTTATAAAAATGAAAACAACTAAAATTTTATAAATTAAAAACCAGTAATAAAAACCCATTAAATTATTATTTTATCCAAAAAGTTGCTAATAAATTAAAATAAAGTAAAAAATAGCCTAACAAATTTAATTACTTTTTAATTTAATTCTTAATGGGCACTTTAAATTAGATTTCCGTTTGTAATAAATTCAATAATGTAAAATAATACTTAAACATATAATATCAAGATTAATTTTCACATTTAAAAATACGAAAGAAAGTTCTGTTTAAAAAAAAAATATACCTAATTAATTAAGAAACACTTCTTTCTATATTCTTTTCACTAATAGATTACGTTCAGAACAAGGTAACGACGGCTATCACAAAGTCAGTCCCACTGAAAATAATCTACAAGAAACGATATCAAGTCGCGACAAAGCAGAAAAAAAAACTAGACGTGGGGGGACGAACATGCGAGATCACGATATATGTTCTCAAAACTGATTCTGATTCTACCGCTCATCAATCAAGGCCGTTTCAATATAACGATACGTACATCGTCTTCCCCAGCGCGAATTGGCATCGGAACGGAATATTATCCTTGCGTGTCTTGTATCGCTATATCGTATATCGCTATATCGTTCGTCTTCTTTACTCGACGGCTTAAATCAGATTTCTGATGCATCGCCTGGAACGGAAGTCGCCGTATCGGCCTGCCGATACAAGCGTTAAATCGATATGTCTATTTATAACCCAGTCCTAATACCCACACATGTGACCCATGACATCAGAAACAACTGATCGCTTATAAATAAAATGCCGTGTTAAAGTTTAAAAGTTTCTCCACATAAGCTGGAATGTTCATTAACGTGAAGTTAATTAAAAAAACAACGCCGTACAGCAACTCGAATTTGCTGTAATTCTTTATCAACTATGTCTTTTAGCTAACTTAGATTTATTTGTCTATGTATTTTTCTTGTAACCGTGAAATATTTTTTTTTTTTGTACCTGGCAACTAAGATGCTTAAATAGTTTGTTTATGTTTTAAGTGGCTTCGTTCTTCCCAATGCATTAAGAAGATATATATAGTAAAAGAATTGAAATATTTGTAAAAGAATCTTTGTGTAAGAATATAGAATGTGTCACTTCGGAGAATTTTAACTTGACAGGCTAGGCTAACTTGATATTGAATAAAAATAACAGTTGCTAACGTAAACAAATGCAACATTTCATTAACCTATCACAATCGAGATACCCACTGCACCATACGTCAGTTGCAGGTTCCCCATTCTAGCCAATGTACGTTAGGGCAGTCACAAAAGTCTATCCTTACTTAATATTCATACTTACAATAAAATCGCCGACGAGACAATTTATATGAATAAGTCAATAATTAAATAGTAAAGCTGACATAGTAAAGCTTTTCTATAGTCAGTGGTTCAACCAAATCTGTCTGCGCTCCATAATGGAAGACAAAATAAGAAAAAAAAATAGAGTTTTTATTCTGTTTTATTCTTATTTTGTCTTCCGATATGGAACCTCGGGGCATATGCAGTTTTTGCTTGAACCACTGACTATAGAAAAGCTCTTTTTGCATAATTCCAAATCACCAACAATATTTTCTGTAATTACTTGTTCAAAAAAAATCGTTTAAAGAGATTTAAAAAAGGAAGTAGGTTTTAAAGTTATCAATGTTTTGTCTTCTCTCGTCATCTCAAGACAATTTATGATTAAGAAGTTGATTGATGCGAAATAATAATTGATTTTACCAGAATGAAAATTCAATCAGAAAGCTCTTCTTTCACATTCCATGTTTAGGCCTTAATTTTCCACCACGAAAAGCATCAAACCACACTGCTAGATGAACGACGTAGTTTTTTCTGTTCAATATGTTCAAATTCTTCCAGTCCTTTTAAGTTTTGATAACAAAAATGTAAGACTTACCTGTGAAAATAACAGCTAGGAAAACAAGCACTAGTGTAAAAATGTATCCAATGGTACTGTACCACAAATAAGATATCTTAAACAACACAAAAACATCCCTAGAAAAAATATATATTAATAAGTTTAAAATATTTTATGAAGAAATTAATGAAAAAAATGGATATAAAAACTATTTTGGGGGCTCCTTGTTATTTTAAACAAAGAAAAAGAAAAAAAGTATAGTCTTGAAAACTTCTAGATTACGTTAGTTATAACTATAAAGGTGAATAAAATGAACAAAATACTTTTGAAACTAGATTTGAAAAACAATTTATTAGTGATTAATGGATATTTTTAATGCTTCTGTTAACGTGCGAAAGTGCGTTTAACTTATAAAGTTCAGAAACAAATGAAGAAACAGTTCATATTAAGCAAGCGCCCTCAGTGGGGCATGATGACATTTCTGGGCATGGGTTCCTATGCAATTTTAACCATGGTGATGTGCCCTTGCTCAGAAACAGTTTGTGGTAACATGTATGCGACTTCCTGTTAAAACGTTCTTAAACATGTACATTTCGATATAATGCAGATTAAAAATGTCTTTATAATAAAAATAAAAATAATAAAAATAAAACTGTAGCATGGTGAAAATGTGTAGCGTGGTAGAAAGTGATTGCAAGTTTTGAAATCAGCCTAGAGAAAATAGCCGAAAATTGTTTTTAAAAAAATCCTCATTCAACAATAAATAACTCATATATTTAAGAATCTCTTTTACCCCCAGTTTAAGTAAAGTTAAGAAGAATGTGAGAAGAACGAATATCTTAAAATCATATTCATGTCCTGTACTAACAGTGATAAAAATTGCATGCTTTTACCACATAGTGCATAATGATACCATACCACCATCCTACATTTCCCACTTCAAAAAGAGAAATCAAGCGAAATATGGCAGAAAATCGCAAATATAATTTAATTAATAAGATCATTGACTCACTTATTAATATCCTGAGAAGGTACAGGATAAATGTTTGTTGGAACAACAAAAGTACGATTCCCATGATATGTAACATTTTGGAGAATGCATTCTTCCGTACTGAGTGGCAGTGTAGGCTGAGTGTAGTTGGAAAATAATGTTCCAAATGAAAGACATGACATCAAACTGTATCCCACAATCAAAGTAAATGAAACACACTAAGTGGAAACTAATAAAGTTCACTGCACTAATAAATATTGCATTATTGAATATTGCATTAATAAGTATTGCATTAATAAATGTTGAATCAATAAATATTGCATTAATTAATATAGCATTTACAAATATTACATTAATACATATTGCATTAATAAACATAACATTAATAAATATTTCATTAATATATATTGCATTTGCATTTCCTGACCATTCATGTTTGCTCATTTCTCATAAATTTACCAAAGAAAACTAGGTGAATATTTTTGCTCTGATATTAAATTTCATTTTTAGATTACTTCGTTATCATAAATCAACACCGCGTATTTTGTTCCGATCTCTAAAACCACTTAGAGGTATCGAAGTCAAACGCTGAACTAGATCAGTATTTCATTACTATTCAATTAAATATCGTTTGCACTATTGCTTGGAAGATTCTGGTAACTATTTAGTAGTATTTAGAGTTACTTAGTCTAAGAAATCTCGATTATGATGGATTTTAAATTTTTAGTATCAATGGAAATTATGAAACAAATCTACAGCAAAGCATATTGAAAAGTACAAAATGTTTCCACAAAAAAATTTAAGCGATTGAGTGGGTGGAGTAAAGTTTCTTTTTCGAAATTGTAAGAAAATTACTTTTCTGTAGTAAAAAGGAAAAAAAAGAGAAAAAAAACTAAATGTTAGTTAAGTGTAATTACCTTGTCTGAAGCCTTTGTTGTTAGAACTCCAACTGTGAAGACAGCTAACATTGGCCCTTCCAGAGAACTTATCAATACGGTGGCTAATAGCAGGAGACTCCTAACTTCCATGAAACAAAAACTGAGGCCTATACAAATTCCACCGTAAACCAATGCTTGAATTTAAAAAAGGCATATTGCAATAATTAAGCAAATTTTCTAAAAAATTAAATAAGTAATTATCCCCTCATGTCTACATTTAATAACTATGAAGCGAGGTAAAATATATATTTTTCAGTGGTTTTGGAGGTATAGACATTGTTTGAAAGCTGACTAATACTAACATTTTATTAATTTACTTAATAAATGAACAATTTATTAATTTTATATTGCACTTCGTAGTTTTTCATATTGCTTCTGTATTTATGAGCTAAATTATCTCTCGCGGTTGCATTAGATTCTCTTATAGATCATAGAGAGTATCTTATAAATGACTAGACAGTAGAAAAATTAATTAAAGAAAGACAAAAAGAGATAGCAATGCAGGATCCACTGCATTCTGTTTGGGAAACTAGAGTTGCCCTATAAGTTTCAAAAAAAGTAACTAAGTTCATGAATTAGTAACGCTTATAATCAAAATAAGTAATGCTTATCATCAAAAAAATCTATAATACCATATCTTAAAAGTAACTACCATTCACAGCGTCACCATGGCACAATATGAGAACAAAACTGTCATTTACCAGTGGAAATATTTTCGGTTAGAATGGTTTGACTTGCCGCATGTCATAATTTTATTTTTATTGACAGCAATGTCGTCTGTTGACAAGTTTTGTCTTGTAGCTGATTTTTAACCCTGATAAGAACAATAGTTTAGTTTTTCTTTTAAGCAGAAGTCAAAAAACCGTACTTATCAGTTTCTTTGTAAAATGATCAACGATCTTTAAAATTTTCGGTTAATTTTGGAACACCCGTATACATATTCTGATTGTTTTTTTTAATAATTATTTTGAAAGACAAAACAATGGAGCGTACTAGCGAAAGAAAATATAGTATAGATTTAAGAGGATAACACTGAAGGTGCCAATGGTAAAAGGAAATAAAATTGATTGATTTAGTGTTATAAGAAAGATATGAAAGTAGTGTATAGCAGATAATATTTAACTAAAAAACCTGTTTGCATAATGCGAAGTCATGCGAAAGATGGGTATGTCCTAATCAGAATATCTTACAAAAAAGCAATTTTTAGTGGCAGATGGTAAACGGATATTTATCATCTATGATATCCGTACAGCTTTCTGTTTGAAGAACGAAACGGTGCTACCATCCTCTGCTATATTAAAACACTAAACAACTGCAGACTGCTCAGTCTTAACGACAATTAATTACATGCTATCTCTGAAATGCATCCTTCTTACCTTATAACACCGAATAACGGTGGTACTATCAAATCTATTTATGATGCTAACACACGTATTCACTTTTTATACTTCGGCAAACTCCCACATTTAAAAATTTGCTAAGTAAAATACATTTGATGACTAGAAAACTACTTAACTGTTAAAAATAAATACGATGTCATTATAGACATTACAAATTCTCTAGTTTTAAAATTTATTTTATTGCATAAATTTATAATAATTTTAATCATTTCTAATCTCATTCTAATTTTTTAAAAAATCAACTAATTACTTATCCCATTTCATGAAAATAAATATCAAAATCTTTTTTAAATTTATAACTGCTGTGAATTTGCAACTGTTACTCATGACTGTTAGATTAAGTTTAGCCTATCTAAGGGCAGTGCTGCCTACACTTATCTAAAAAATATCGCAAAGCGTGATTATGGAGAACAACCGCAATTTCGTGAAAATGAAAAGAATTTATCTAATATTTTAATATTTAAAAACTGATTCCAATGCTGCGTAACCTGAGCTCATAAAAATTTACAGAAACCGAGAATAAGGTAGTGGTTTTGATAATTTTCATCTAGATGTAGAAATCTTTCAAAATTGATGATTTTGAAGAAAGTTCAATAACTTTTTAAAATATATAAGTTATTCGTCTGTTCTAAAGCCTAGATAATTCTTAATGGCAAGAATACATATATAGCTTAAAATCATCGCATTGCTTCAAGTGTAAGGCACTTAAACTATGGCTTCTTTATTTTCCTTGGCTACAGAGCTTCGAGAAACAGCGTTAGGAATGTGGGGTTAGCTTTATTTTTTGCAGCACTATTTACCGATTTATCTCCTCTTTTGGATCTCTCTTTTTTTTTTTTTTTTTTTTTTTTTTTTTTTTTTTTTTTTTTTTTTTTTTTAACAAGGGTTTATCTTGCTGATTAAATCTTCGCACACAATTGGGATTTAAAATTTGTGAAGTTAGGTCTGGGAGGTTAGGATGCCCCTTAGTCCCTCAAACTAACAGTTGTAAATAGCTTCAAAATTTATAAAAATTCGTATTATGGATCTGGTTTTAACAGAAGTACCTGGTGAAAAAGTACTGCTATTAAAAATTTGGAGATACTCATGCTAAAGTCGTTAAATTTGAAATCATGGTGTATTGGTATTAAGAAGGAATTTCTCCGTGATGGCACCATTAATGAATGACTTCCTTTTTACTCAATTTTCATGAATGAAAGATGTTATACTTTGTTGAAAGTTAAAAGACCATTGCGGTATAGGATTTAAGTAATCATCCGCAACTGTATATAGTATATAGTTTCGCTTTATTTAGTTATCAAATTATATAAATATGAGTTCAAAGCAATATAAAAGCGTTTAAAAGTTAAACTCGGTGGACAGAAGTTTGATTCGTGCTATCTTTTTCGATATATGCTTCGATATATGTATAGGGATACAGTTTCGTTGTCTTACTAGAATCCTAGACTTGGCAACATATTTTGATAAATACTGGAGCATTCGCTCTTGAAAAAGAAACAACTTTATGACGTTGTAAAAAGCTTTGATTTGATTGGACTGTGGAGAGCGTGTTATCTATCGACCATGTCAACCTTCATCGATCAAAAGTAACCTCAATATAGAACGAAGTTATTATGTCTTATATACTAGTGAATTCTTATTAAATATTTGTAATGGTGGTTACGCCGCATAACTTGTTTCCAGATTTCAACTGTTTTGGTTTTAGTTTAGTTTCAATTTTAAGCAATAAATATTGTCTTTCCATCTAAGTCTTATCTGGGAATTGGAAGAAGCAAATAGATTATTGTTTATAAATAAAATAAAGATTCTAAATTAAATTGTTTTAGAAAGTCACCAATCCGGTATAGTGACTTATCGCGCCATTACCATCCATAACATAGGAGGCGTCATCTGAATATAGGCAAAGACCAACATTAGAGTCATGAATAGTTGTTAGAAATTCATATAATTATAAGAAAAGGCATATTATTGGCTCAAGGGTTAATTTCATGCTGAAATAGAGCTTCTGAAAAGCAGTTTCAAATAAAATTCCCATTTCAGAATACGTACATAGAATTTTAGCACACCAAACAACTTGTTTATCAGACATGTTACCCTTTCTATAAAGTGGCTTTATGATATCTACCACCGTTACACTGGCTATAGAATTCAGACACGAAGATAAAGAGCTGAGAGCAGCACTAAAAAGACCAGCAATGCACAGTCCTGTCATACCGGGGATCCAACTGAATGCATTCACAATATAATATGGAACAATCTGGAAAGAAATAAAATAAATTCATTTTTAATCGCTGTTACACTAATACCAGGTGTCACAATTCAGACAGAGAAATTATAAAAGTTATACAAACTGTAAAAGTTAAGAAAAAATCTGCAAATTCTCGTTAAAAGGATTACATTTCTCAAGTACCTGTTTTAGTGCAAAACTTTGCAAAGAGATGGCACTACTACTATTTTACCTTTCACATGCAATTTCAGCTTATTGAAAGTAAAAATTTAAAAAGAAATGTAATGCTATTTTTGCTTGTTAAAGGATTTCAATAAATTCTAAAGTGGCTTTCAAATATTTCAAATATTTTTTTTTAAATTTTTTCGCTTAATACTTGCAATGTGTCTTCTGCCGGCAAAGTTTTGAACTAAATCCAGAAGCTTTGGATTGAAATATTTATGCTTCGTCGCATGAATTTGCTTCAAAAGTTTGTTAATCTTAACCATTTTCCTCTTATAAAATTTTGAAAACCATCAGTTTAATTCAGAATGAAAAATATTATGCGGAAATAATAAAAACTGCCTTTGCTGCTTAATTAAACTGTGTCCCCTTTTTGCTGTCTCGGAATAATTAAAAGAAGAATACGAATGCGTTAAACTCAGTCGTTAAGTAAGAATAAATTTTTTGAAAAATCAATAAGAAAGTAAAATGTCCGTATCGAAAACACATTTGATTTCGTTTTTAGTTAATAAGTGTAACTTTTTTAACTTGAAATTTCTCTAAAGTTAATATTTAAAAAAATATGTATTCAATTTTAAGGAAAGATGCGGTCAAAAACTTCCTCAGACACACGCTATGTTTTATGTGAATAGTTTATGTAACCTTATAATAATATTCAAAGATGATTGCCATTATGTCAATAATTTAATTAGAAGGAAGAAATAACTTAGTCTCGAGGGAAAATATTGGACAATTGCTATTAAATATATTTTACATTAACCTTGTGCTTACTGTTTTTACAATAATTGGGTAAGATTCTCAGACTTCATCATCATAAGCGTCATGAGCAAAAAGCTAGAAAAAAAAGTATTATTGATTTATCGCGTGAGTTTAATAAGTGGCACACTAGCTTTATTATGCATAGTATTTGCAAGCAGCTAATAAAGCTATTCAACTCTAGATTGCATAAGAAAGTAATTTCGACAGCTTTTTAATTTCAATTAGAAGAAAAATGATGACACAATTTCTTAGAATTTTGTGACTTTTTGTACAACATATAATTCTTTTTATTGTTAATATTTACTAATAGCATGCTATATAACTGTAAATATTATAAAAAATATTAAAAATTAATTTTAAACTAATTTTTTTACACATTAGTTATTCTTTCAAAATCCAGTCATTTCGACTGCTTTTGGGCAATATAGGTATTTCAGTCTTTCTAGTGTTAAAGGATATGATGATAACAAGCCGGGGTTGCCTGGTTGCTATGGCGTTGGGCCCTAATATAAGAGGACGTGATTTCGATTCCTGCCGGCGGAAGACTCTCCGTGTACTAAATTGTGACTGATGCTCTTTAAATCTGTAGGGTCATAAAGTCTTTCATGTTCCCTTAATAAATCAATACTGAATAACAAATACATATCAACCCTGATCGTACTTTGGTTCAGGTCAAACTTAAGATCTGTGGATGAATGAATGGATGCATGAAAGGGTCCACCCTGCAAACAGGCTGTGGCGTGTGTGTGGCTGAAGTCATATTCTTGGCCATAGATGGCACCACTGAAAAAAAAGACACGCACTATCTGCCTTTAAATCGCTTTGTTTAACAAAGCAGGCTTGCTGACATTGACATTAGTAGCAAAAACAATGATAACATACAGAAATTTTATTTTGTTATTTTTTTATTTATTTCATATTTGCCGATGCCATAAGAAAGCTGCCACTTAGTAATTAAGCTGGGACGCCATCTACGTTTGTCAAGAATCACAATACTCCAGATTGATAGATTTTAAGGGCAAACATATGAAGTTGTGCTTTATTAGTGGTTATTATCAAAAGGTAATAATTTTTCAGACTACTGATAAGAACACTTACTTGATCATATCTTTCCACTCCTGTTTGACTCTTGTTTAAAATGGGATCGCATTTGTAGTAAATGGAGTATAATACTACGCCAAGCATATTGTTCATAAGATAAACAAGAGTCATCGGTAAAATACTCATTTGTAGTGTACTGAAAGAAAATGATTTTAGTTTCGTCAGAAATGCAATAGTGATTACAGCGTCATTATGATTTGTAGTTATAAAAGAAGGTAAAATGAGTATAACCACAGACTACAAGTAGCTGAATTTTCATTTCACATGAGAGAATCATAAAAAATCCTAAACGACAAAAAAGATTCTGGAATTATTTTTATTGTTTGCACGACTCGATCTCGTATTTTTTTCTGGATGCAATAAAACTCGATTTATAATCAGTGATCATTACTGGCCTCAATTTGAGCTTTAAGTTGGATGTGTTTATTTCTACTCGAGTCTGTTTGCTTTCATCAGATATTTTCCAACAGTAATTTCGAAATAAGGGTACCGTAATTTTTTCTCTTTAAACATGGTATACCAGTTTTATTATAATTATTTGAAAATATGGAAACTGTTTGCAAGCTCAAAACTAAGCGAATGCTTGCTAGAGCCGATTGATTGCATGGACAGTGCAAGTTGATGTCACACTCTATATCAGACATACTTTTCCCGAGATGATGCTTTTCTGATTCGTGATTAAACATTTTTTCATATGCCCTGTTTTTTTATTCCCTATTAATTTCCCCTTTTCCCCTGTTTTTCTATTCCCTTTTTCTCTAATGTAATGTTTTTATATTCTTTCTAACATTGTAATCTATCCCTATACCAAGTTTCGTGGTAACACAGTAACGGTCAGTTTTCACAGACTTTATGTTTGCGATCTTGGCTCTGTTGACCATTGTATTGTAAATGTAAAACAAAATAATGCATAACTTGGTCACGATTTCACGCGCTTTTTAACAAATTTGAACTTTCAAGTATTTTTTGGAAATTTCTTCCGTAATTGTAAACTTAGTACCCTCTAGATGCAACTAGGTTCTAACTAATTTTAAAACCATTTGCTCTAAAACCAACTGAATGGTACAGGGCTCGCTTGGCAAGTAAGCTCAGTTCTTAGTGAACTATCTCTTAACTTTTGCATTTAACTCTATTATAACAATAAATCGTAAACTCTATTTGTTTTAGTTATTAAACGTGTTAAAAGTTATATTGCCATTTGGCAAGGAGCACCAGTAATTATTTTAACACTCTTGCTTATCGGAAACTGATTGATATGTTAATAACAAGTTTTAACCACACAGGCATGAATAAGATTTAATGAAAATGTAGTAATAAGTTTAAAACTCACGATTTGGCTCTTTGAGAAGTACTTAAACTGAGTACTCTTTGAACTTCCACTTGATTAGTTCCATAATATGAAATACCAAACATAATTCCTCGACAGAAAGAACCCCAAAAACTTAAGCGCTTCGTAAAGTTCAGCCGGAGACTGCAGATAAAAGAAATATATATTTAGTTACATCACAGCTTCACTAAGATAAGTGGTTTAAATTAAAGGTATTTTTAAAAAAGGAATTTTATTCAAAAGAAAAAGAAAAAGCTCTAAATTATTAGTCTGTTGAATTTCAAGAGAATTTTCTAAAATTAACAGATTTCTTAAATTGAACAAAGAATAAAATCAATCTCATCATTCAATTTCCTTTTCTAATATCAAATTATTAGAACACAAAACTATAAAAGTTATTTAAAATAAAAACTCATAAGTAACAAGAGCTGTGAAAAAATTATATGTGATATTAGTAATACTTATTTCATTGGGGGGAGGGGAATTCTATTTGAGTTCATCTGTCCAACTTTTTTTTCACAAAAATTAAATAATACATAAATAAAGGGCAAAAAATTGAATTTTTAATTCAAAATTTTAAATATGTTAATATCTAAAATCAGTTAAAAGTTTAAAGTATGAATATTTTTATGAAAATTAAATAAACATGCTTCATTATTGAATCATTTCTATGAAAATTAAAGCTATTGTTAAGCACATTAGTATTTAGTAATTAAATTTATAATTATTATAATAATTAAAGAAGTTAAATTAATATAATAATTACTTCAAAATATCAATATAAATTACTTAAATAATGAAATAAAGCGAAATCATACGTAATTAAAGCAATTGTATTAAAAATTATTTTCAAAAAAAAATTAAGAAATCCATTTTTTTCTTTGAAGAGGAATAATAGGTTTTGATATTGTTTCAATAATGATAATGATAATGAACTAATAGGAGGCTATAGGTTATAGTTTCAAAAGAAGAGTTTTATAAAAAAACTAAAAGCAAGGATTTAATGCTATTCTTTTATTTGAAGAATAAAAAAACTTCCAAGATCAAATTTCTACTTTTAAATTTCAGAATTTTTAAGAAGACTTATTTAGTAATTGAAGAATTTTCAACAGACTTTTTTGTTTAAATAACTTGCTTTTTTTCTTTTCGTATTTTAAAAGAATTTAAAAAACATTGTGAATTAAGAACACTAGCAATTGTATTAAAAATTATAAAAAAAATTAAGAATTCCGTATTTTTTTCTTTGAAGAGGAAAAATATCCTTTGATATCAATTCTTTCAATAATAATAATGATCATGAACAAGTAAGAGGCAAAAGGTTCTAGTTTCATTTGTAGAATTTATAAAAAGCTAAAAGCAAACATTAAAAAAAATTTATTCTTGTTTAAACTGAATACAATTCTTTTATTTCAAAAATAAAAAATTTCTAGACAATAATGCTTTTAAATTTTAGAATTTTTAAAAAGTATTATTTTATACTTAAAAAATTTTCGACAGATTTTTTTTACTAACTTACGTTTTTTTTCGCTTCCTGTTATAAAAGCATTTAAAATACATTGTAAATTTAGAACACTGATTCCATTGATTTTTTTTTATAATTTATCCTTCTTATAATGATTTTTAGAATTTACTTCAAGGAATTTATTAAAACAGTTTTTTTTTAGTAATAAAATATGTAAAATAATTTTAGGCGTAAATAAAATTTTTCTTACCCTAAACAACAATACAACAAAACAACAACAAGCTTACTGTTAATTTAAAAAAAAGTTTTTAACATAATATTACAATGAGGGCCGGTTTTCGACAGATTTCTGAAGCTTTTTTGTTGTTTCCATTATATTCTCTTATGTTCAATTCCCGATATGTATCCGCTCTTAAAAATTTTGGGCAAGAATTCTAAAAATATATTTTCCCGTTATTTCATATCACCCTGCATTATAATGAAAAGTGCTTACTCATACAGATCATTCAATCGTTCCCCATCTCTTGAACGTATATATATGTTTGCTACGCCACCTGCGTCTTTAATACCAACTGCGTATAAAGCTACCAAGCATAATATTATGAGTGTTGCTTGGAATACATCTGTCCACAGAACAGCTCTTAATCCTCCCTAAATATATTTAGGAATATTGCATAATCATATTAACATCAGAAAATCATTTGAAAATTATTATTATTAACCTAATAGGGGAAACAACAGGTATTTAGAGGTAGTAAAAACAATATCCAATTATCAAAGAAAGGGAAACTAATACTCTGTAAAAAAATCTGTTTTTCTCAAAACCAAAAATGCGGACTACTTTCAACCAAAGTGGTGTAGTGAAATGCCGTACATAACTCTTGGTTCTAGGTGTTTCCCTATGCCAAGAATATTCCTTTACGCAGCATGATGTAAAGTAGCAGTCACGACTTTTGTTAAGCAGTAACATTATAATTTATAATTACAGTAAGATATGATACACATAAGAGTCATTAAAGGTATTTTTAAGATTCAATATAAAGCCAGAATTATTAATTTAGAGTGCATCTATACAATATTACCTAAAAGAAAAAGGCTTGTTAATTAAACATACACACAGCGCAGAGAGAATATCAATATGAATTTGAATTAGGCTTAACAAAATCGAAACAAATAGATAGTAATTAACATAAAATTACTTAATATAAAATTATTATATAACAAATGAAAACAAAAAATTATAACAACTATTTTAAACCAAATTCGTGACTAAGTTAATTCATCAAATTTGATAAATGATTAAAAAAATCTTTTATTTGTGAAAAGATATCCAAAATAAAAAAAAGCATTCTTCATTTTTTATATAATTATCAGTAAATTTCGAATTCAGCCCGGAGGCTGTGACTGCAAGGAGAAACCCCGCAAGATATCTAACTCCAGTAAGAAATAAAAAATACAAGTGTCATGTATACGTTAGAATAGTTTTCACTAAATATTGGCTATCAAACTGCTGGGCCTTGGTAAGGCAGTGGTTGAACCACGGCTTGATCCTTGCCTTCACTAAGACCTATCGAGTACATTACATTTACGTACTCGGTCAGTGGATACATGTGGTCGATCCTTGGTCAGAACCATGGATGCAGGAAAATTCAGAAAATTGCCTTCCCCTTCAGATCTATGTCTAAATTGATGAAGTGCCCTTGCAAAAATTGTGATGGCTTGTCTTCGGATCATCCTCAGGCGGGTTTCTCAGACCCTCGCCAATAGCCCATGGTGCAGCTCAAGTGCAACTTCAATAAAGTAATTAGTAATTTCTTTAATTTATTGCCAAAGCTCAGCTTTACATATTCAAATAAGTTTGCAGAAGAGAAATAATAACGAATTTTAATAAAATTAAAGCATTTAGCAACTATATAACGGTTTTCAAATTCTATTCTAATATGTAAAGCAGATGTAGGGGGAATCTCAAAAAATAGACTTATACTGCCCTCAATTCAGGGTTGAGTTGCAAAAAGATTAACGATGATATAACATTATTGTTTTACATTAATTGAAGAAAAGAATTAAATGAGATAATAATTTAAATTTTAAGTATTAGATAATATGTTATGCATATTTTTGCACAGCATTATGAAAATCCAGTTTAAAACCCATTCAATCTTATAAACCTACGTCTATTAAAAATCTTGCATTTTCTTAGATTAAAGAAGTTCAAGGAATTAAAACAACCTAAACATTTTTGTGAAATAAAAAAAAACTTACTATAGAACAATATATAGTGCAAATGATCCCTAATGATATCATGGAAATTTCAAGAGATATATCCGTGACAGCGCTCAAGGCTAACACGGATCCATACAGACAAATAACCATGTAAAACATCTAGAAACAAAATACAATTGATTTTATAAGTATTAAATAATATTTTTCAATGGAGAAAAAAGTCCGTAATGGTAATTGGTAGTTACCATTTGTACAAGAAACAGGGTTGAAACAATGTACCTTGTCATCTTTCCAAAGCGTATCTCAAGAAACTGAAAATAGCAAAGTAATAATCATAACGCTAGTATTTTTCAAAAATTATTTTACATGCTTGTTTATTTATTTATTTATTAAATCCAATTTTTATACGAAAGTCCTTATGAATGTCGTTTAACAAATTTGTTAAGTATATGTACTATGCGCAAAAAATAAATTAATAATAAATAAATGAATAAATAATAACGGTAAATCCTAAAAACTTTTTATCTAGTGATCGGGATTTTCATTTAGTAAGATTTAATCGTAATGTTTCAAAGGCCTAACAAATATGCTAATTAATTAGTGCAAACAATATTTTATGTTACGAAACAAAACATAAAATCGTACTTTCTCTGAATAAACTTCATTTTGATTCCTGGCCCTCAAAATATAAAAGGGATGGCTGCAATCTGCAAAATATTGTCCCAATAGCTTATGGTCTCAATGGTCAAGAATTAGGTCAAAAGTTAAGACCCCTTAATATTAATCTTACCTTTTGCGTCTTTTGTCTTATCTCAAGAACTGTTTAGACGAAAAGGAAATTTGTGCACTCAATTATAAAAGTCATTTATCCAAAGATGTTTTGTAGCGAAAAATAATTTTTAATGATAATGCATTATTTTTATTACTTATTTATATTTTTTTGATAATAGTCGAAAACATTTTGAATTGTTATTATTATAAATTTTTACGTCTTTCTTAAGAATACATTTTCATAAGAAAGAATAAAAATTTTGTTCGAAATCAATCGAATAGTTTGTGCGAACTCGAATTTTAATGAAGTCTCATATTTAAGATTCGATTTCACAAAAACTCATTTTTTCTGATTTAAATTTTATATTTTGCCTTATATAAAATAGCATTCTCTAAAATGCCGTCAAAACTTGAGTACCAAATAAAAAATTTATTTCGACTGTTAATTAATGTGATAAAAAATAATGAACAGCTATTAAAGATTACTTTTTGCATGAAAATAATTTTTGATAAACGAATTTTATAATTGCGTGCAAATTTTTTTGGATTTGTCTAAAAGTTCTAAAGACATGACAAATATTCAAGAAGTAGAATAAACATTACGATGATCAAACTTTTGAGCAATAGCTTGACCAAACTGCTAGAACATATTTTCCAGATTGCGGCTGGCCTCTTTATTCTGAGGATCAGGAATCATTTTCCGTGGAAATGCTTATTCAAAGAAATTGCATCCATGTGTCTGATTTCGAAACTTAAAATATTGTCTGTATTAATTTGCATATTTAAGGTCACCCTTTAAACCTTTCTGTCCTAGTACGTTAGCATCCGACGACAAGATTAAAAGTATATTTAGGATATTACGATTTTTTTTAGTGCACGTTACGTTTTAAATGATTATGTTCGTTGAATTCACCATCGTTTGATGTTTATTGCTGTATGTGTTTATATAGAAATTAGCAAACATATCAAATTCATCCTTTTGCAAGATTTTTTTTTAATTTAAAAATGTTAAGCAATTTTTTTTAAAAAAAACAGTTCTTTAAAAAAGATGCAACTTCTGGAAAGAGCTAATTTTAAAAAACGCATACCAAGAAAATACATTAAAATAATTTTCTTTTACTTATTTAGGTCAAGAGTATACGCATTTTATAACAATTTTAAATGCATAATCTGAAACAAGTTACCAAACAGAAGCGGAATAATGGTAGGAAATTTTAAATAAATATTTCTTTTTTAATTAGTTACGCTTTTTCAGATTCGAAACGCAATTTATTTAAAATATCCTTTTATTTTAGTGAAATCGGTAACATCTTCCATTTGAACAATGTTGAACATTGTCTAAAAAGAGTTCTGTTTCTAGTATTTAAAACGTTTGAGAGATGTGAGACTCGTTTCGTAGTACTATACATGTATTTCGAGATGTATCAAGGTTTTACTTAAAAAAAAGAGAAAGAAAAAGAAAGGAAGAGCAAATTTGATAGAAATCTGCAGGTCCATCTCCTGAATGACTGCAGACTCCGTGTTCCGATCTCGAATGCGATTCGATATGTGAGAAAATGTATATTACAAATTTCTTATTTCTCATCTTGAAGTTAATGCTAATAAAAGGAATCCTTAAATTCACATTTATTTGCTCATAATTTATTATACTTTGATGCGACAAAATAATCTTAGGAAAATAACAAAGATCTAACAAAACCAAATTAATATTAGTATGTTCAAAGTTCTCTAAACCTACGGACATCGAAAATTAAGGTATCTTTTTATAGCTTCCAGTCTGAATGGCAAAATCTTACGCAAATAAATGCACATTTCAGGCATTTCACACTAAGTGAAGTTCTCTATAATTTTAGGCACTTTTTCATACTAATGTAAACAATATTTTCTCGCATTAAATAAATTATGGATGCTTTTCACCAGGTGTCACTGTAAACGGTTGATGCGCGCAATGCGTATTAACTACACTTACAATTATAACTAAAGCTACCGTCAGATCTTAGCGAGCATCTTGTATTGAATTGGGTGTTCATCACTTTTAGTATTTTTAACCTTCTTGCAAAGAAAACAAACTTTTATTTACATTTTTTTTCTATTTTGTGAAACGAGTATAAGATAAGAGAATATCCCTCTAATATTATACGGAGAAAAAAATTCAGGCAAAATTACTGTATTGCGTGGCAAGGGATTTCTAGTAAAAAGAAAACCATGTTTCTGGATAACAAAACATCTTAAATCATAATCAAATGTATTTAAACCATTCCTATGGTAAATTTTCCGTTCATATGGTAACCACTTACCGAAAATTCTGATTTTATAAAATTATAATTTTTACTTCCGCATCTTTTGTATAAAATTACAAAATCGAAAAATAAATCTAACCGAATAAGGGATTTTTATGCAATGTTCATATTTATCATAGTAAAATTATCAAATTTTACTTCATTTACAAAACTTTATCACAGAGCCACATTTTAATGTTAATTTTATTAAAATTATCTAATTCGATAAAAAATTATATATTTTTAGCACTTCCATAGAGCCAAAAACACGGTAAGGATTGCCATATTATGATAGTTTGGACCACGCATTTTTCTCAGTGTATTTAAACAGTTCGTTAATTGGTTTTATATTTACCTCATAAATCGTTGAAACTTCACATTGATAATACACTGGTATAAATATCCAAGATGCTAGAAACACACCGATTGGAAAAGCAAGAGGAACCATTACAAAAGCTAATCCATACTTGTAAATCTCGGCTGGAACTGCCAGCATTGTTGAAGGTGATACAAGAGTTACGATAATAGACAAAATCACAGGAAGCCTTTTCATATTCTTTCCAGCCAATATGTATTCATTTGCAGTTTTTTGCTCACCGGATAATAATCTTGATGTTATTCCAATACCTACCGATATCAATAGAGATGAGCATATTACGATATAATCTGTTATTCCTAGATATTTTCTATCAAACATTATAGTGAGATTTTAGAGAGTAAGTGCTAAAAACCATATGATTTTTCTTTGATAAGGAAGTAAATGAAGACATAAAGATTTATTAACAGACGAAACTTAGACAAAGGATTCATCCGAGAGAAATCTAATAAATAAAATTGTCTTAAATCAGAGAAAGAATTATTGTACTAATGATCGTCATGACAATTTATGGTATTCAACTTCAGATGTTTCCAGTGACTTTCCTAATAATGTAAGTTAGTTAGGCTGATTTTATACTTAAGTATATAAATTTGTAAGTAATGATTATTTCTCTCCTCGTTACTATAAAGTTTGCTTCTTATTTCCGATAAAAAAAATTCCTTTCATTTTTGCACGTTTGTTTATAAAATATGAGATTACAAGCGAAATTTATAAGCTAAGTAGTCACAAAAATAGAGAAAGGGAATGGGTCGTTTTGTCCATTAAGCAATTTTGCTAGGAAGCAATTATTAATCTTTCGTGCACTCATATAAAAATTACCTGCATCCCAAATTTTAATGCAAAAAGTGTAATTCTAGGGTTGATGATCGCAGAGAAGAGATGTCAGTTTTTGTATCGCCGCTATTTGCTAATATATTGCACCCAATGCAATTTTACAGAAAGCAATTTATCTTCTTTGTTATTTTGGTCATATTTTATGGTATTTATTTCGTTATTATGTTGGTCATTTGGTATATTTACTCCATATTTAAAACATTGATTAGATAATAAATTCGTTTTAAATTAAATTTAAAGAAAACTCACTTCAATTTTCTTTTTTTTTTTTTTTTTTTTTTTTTTGGTTTTAAAATTGTAAAATAATAAAAAAATTTGCATCTTTTTTCACGATAACATTGGGGTAAATTTTCTGTTTGGATTAACTCCAAGAAATTTTCTGTTTAGAGTAACTCCGAGAAATTTTCTGTTTAGATTAACTCCAAAAAATTCAACCACAGAAAACTTTTTGTGGATAATTTTTTTATTTGTTGCGCAATGTAATTGGGAGGCAAAATGATATCGTACATTAAAACATTAGTGTATTTTTCAATAATGTGGTTTTTAATTTATGTATTCAGCCTTATCATATCATTCAGCATGAGTTATAGTATCAAAAATTTAAGCTCAAAGTGGAAAATTTTAGTTCCTTATAAATTTTTGACTTGAGAATTTTGACTGAAATCAATGCATACAGCCAAGTGCTCAGTCAATTATAATGACAAGTATTTATCTGAGAATATGCAGCCGTGAATTCAAATTAGTTCAGAATTTTTTACATAAATAAAAAAATTTGTGTTTTTAATGACTGTTTTATGAAAAACATAATTCGATTCTTCACAGTGTCCCCCAAATTGTCTGATGATACTTCGATAAGTACAAGGTACTCCAAATTTCGCATCGTCTTTTACAAAATGTTCTATCAAATCAGATGCAAACCATCATTTTATGGTTTCCAAATTTTTATACGGTACAGCTGATTTAGTGCAAAAAAAAATTAGTTATTGGTAAACTCTTAACTGCAGCTTCTGAGGAGTAACAAATTTTTCTTTGACTGTAATGATTAAAAAGCTATCTTACTTTTTTTTAAGAATAATTTCTTTAAACTATTGTAATTGCTAACCTTTAACCATTTGATCATGAGATTTTACTAGGCTTAGATGTCACGAGTTTCTTTAGACATCAGTTTATGGGTCACTCATAACATTCATTTTTTGAATCTTAAACAAATTTGAAGTCCTAGAATAGATATAAGAAAGTTCGAATTCAATAGTTATCTTAATCTGAGGAATCACTAGCCAGATCATCAATCAGTGAAATTATGGGATTTTATCATAAACGGATTAATTGCAGAATGAAACGGGAAAATTCTTGCTGCTCTTACGAAGCCACTTTTCAATTGAAGTTAAACCAATGAAAATGAATGTCGAAGGAAGTTTTTTTTTTATCATTTAATTATTTAGTTGTTGTATTATCACTTCTAAAATCATAAACATTTTTGACTTACAATTTCTCAGTCTATTATGGCTGCAGCAATAATTCACATTAGAATAAAGTATTCTTTTGATTTATATGTGTACCAATTTCCAAACGTATTTCTCGTAATAGATTATCTTTAGATGTAGGTTAGGTGAAATTTAGATGATATGGGCATTATAAAAATAGTATAAGTACAATTTTGTACCATTTAAATACTTCATCCTCTAAAACCTGTGCCTTTATTTAGTGTTTCCTAATATGTTTAGAGATTTCTTTCAGCCTTCACTGTCAGAAATAAAATTGTTACTTTTGATGATTTAACAATCCCTGAGCTATGTTTCGTTAATTTAAGAATATTTTGTCACGAAATCACGTGATTTGCGCCGAAACGTGAACTCTCAAGTAAATGACGAAAATGTTCCTTTTCGAAATTTCATTGTAGTGCACCGTGGAAGATTGTTTACCAAAATGACGAATCTAAAAAAGAGATTATAAGATCGAAAATAAATTGACGAAACAAGCCATCAGTTCATTATGGTGGTCAAAGAATTTGACTCAAACTACGGAGATCATTGGTTCAAATCCCGCTTTGGGAATGGATCCAATTTATCAATCTGCCTTTCTTGTGTTGTTCAGGTGGCATTGATCTACCTATATGGTGCCAGCAAGGAAGTGATTATAAGAAAAATGGGAGACATTTTTATTAAAAACGTCATTACAATGCAGCATGGTAATTTTATCTGATTTTTTTTTCTCAGTGCAAGTTTACTGTATTTGTTCCAGAAATTAGTTATGTCAATAATAAAAATATATTAACCTTGATTCATTTGAAAAATTGTCCAATTTAGTTTATTTTTAAATAAAATCGTTTTTTTAGAAAAATGTCAATTGTAGTACATATTTTTGCCAAGACTAGTGCTTGTTGATAAAAAGATCATTATTTTTCCTTACTGTAGCAGAAGAACAAAATATGTCTTATCATTAAGTTCCAATAATTAGCGTAAGAAAATAGGCATGCAATAATTTTCTGATTTATGAAAGCTCACTAGTTTTCCAAATTAAACTGATTAATTGAAGAGAATGTCATTATTTGACTTCGCATTTAATACTTTTTATTATTAGTCGAAGCAATAGAGGAAAAACTATTTTTCAATATGGTGTGCTTTTTATTCATTGAATATATTTTGTTGTTATTTTTTGTATTATTGGTCAAAAACTTGTGATATGAGAAAATAAAAAGATTTTAAACTTTGATATCTGAAAAAATGCTGAAGTACTACTTTTTTAGTACTTTAAGTATTATTGTTTTATTAATGCTAACACTCGTACAAAAACCGGTTCCTGGTTATTTTCTAATCGAAAAAAGAAATAAATAAAAAAGGAAGTATTTTGAATTAATAATTATTTCTCTATGTACTTTTGTTAGAATTCATTGTAAGTCTCTTTCTGCGTTTTGCTCTGTTTAAGCTAGAAAACGAACAAAATTACATAAATTATTTTTCAATGTATTTATTCATATAAAACAGAGAATAAATAAAAAAAAACATGAACAATGATGGTTTAATTGTTCACATCTGTGACGTTGATGGAATAATATCGTTAGTTTCTTTTCCCTGTTTCATTTCCAGTGGTTTGTCCAAATTCGCTCGATTCAACCAAAATCGAGTAACTGGACTAAGACAAATAGAATCTTTCGGAATAACATTGTTTTTCCATCCTAGAAAAAATTTATTACAATTATCTCAATCATAATAAAACCAATATTTTACAAAAGAGAGAGAAGTCATCGCGGTCGCATTATTGTGGTAACTAGTTAACCTTAGGTCAAATATATTTTTTTTCTGTATAGACTTTTATAAACAACGCCAAATTTTCATGGGTTGAAAAAATTGCATCATTTGATATTTGCCTTCTTGTCCTCCAATAGGTTGGATTAGTTTTTAATTGGGCACTGACACTTCAAGAAGAAGACGAAGAAGAACATGGATACCCGCACATGTGACCCATGACGTCCGAAACAGCTGATCGTTAATAAGTAAAATTACGTGTTAGAGCTGAAAAGTAACACCACACTCCACATAAGTTAGGACAGGGATAGGCAAACGTTTTTGGTCAAGGGCAAAAAATCGAGAAAAAAATGCTTGGTGGGCCAAGTTAAAACTTCAAAATTTAAAATTAAAAAAAAGCGATACACAAGTTTTAATTTAAATATTTAGTGAGATGAATGAAATTGCGATTTCATTTTTAAAAGTTCCTTATATTGAGGTTCGAAGTTAGATGTGCTTATTTTAGGGAACGAGGCTAAATGCTTGTCTGTTAGTCTACTTCTGAAATGATTTTTTCCATGGTTTACAGTTGAAAACTCTTGTTCACATATATAAGATTAAGCAAACATAGAACTGATTTTCTGGGCATGAAATATTAGATTTTGGAAACTAGCTTTTGGTAATGATTTGTAAAACTCCAACTTTGGCATATTTAGAAACAACTGCTTTAGATGATTGTTAGATTGTCCGCTCGTTGGAGCTTAAAATGCGGAGTCTGCCACATGTGAAGTACAATTCACCTATATTAGATTCCATAAGTTTGCTCCTCGAGAAAGACAAACGCTAGTTGAAGCCAATCTACGGCTATTCTATAAAGAACTACTGCTTTCAACATTTTACCAATTGAAGCTGCCTGTGCTAACTATTTCGATCAATTTATGTTTCGTAAAACAAAAATAGAGAAAGTAAAAAGGTCATCAGTACTTTGTTAAAAAAAGAAAGAACGGATATAGGGCTCAAAAAAAATCGACAAAAAAATGGATGTCCATTGTTTTTTATTTGCCAAGGATCGGCAAGCTAAAATTCTGTCCGCGGGCCGTATAAAACCTTCCGACGGGCCACAGTTGGCCCGCGGGCCATTGTTTGCCCATCCCTGAGTGAGAATGTTCATTAACATGAAGTTGATTGAATACAGTGCCGTACCGCAACTGGAATTTGTTGTAATTCTTCATCGCTTATGTCTTTTACTTAACTTAGATTTATTATTTGTGTAAGTATTTTCTTGTAACCTTGATAGAATTTTGTTTTTTTATACCTGTCAACTACGATGCATAAATTTGTTTGTTGTTGTTTTAAGTGTCTTCGTGCTTGTTATTGCGTTAAGTAAGAAATATATAGTAAGAGAATTGAAATCTTTTTAATAGAATCTTTGGGTAAGAATATAGAAGAATATTCAGAGAATTTTAACTTGAAAGGCACGGCTAACTCGAAACAGAATGGAAAGAACAGTTGCCAACGTAAGCAAATGCATCGCTTCAACAACCAATCACAATCGAGATACCCACACTACGTCACTTGCAGGTATCCCATTCTAGCCAATATACATTTAAGCAGTCACGAAAGTCTTTCCTTTCTTCAGTATTCATATTTATAATAAAATCGCAGCTAAGACAGTGAATGTGTATAAATGTAGTGTATAGGAATAAGTTAATAATTAAAAAAAAAACATAAAAATATTTTTAATAATTATTTCGTAAAAACATTGAAAATTCACGCAAAATAAAAAAAAGTTACCAAGGAAAACAATCAAATTCCAAAAAGTTCCAAAATTATCGCGTGCTTTTTTATTTGATCTTCTTGACCTAATTTTTATCAACGCTTACATTAGCTTGATTTCTTTTACCTTCCACATTTTTTTTCGGTTCTGGTATTTAAATTAATCTAGTCAAAAAGTGTACGGGCATGAAAAACATAGAACAACTCCAATTTCCTCAATGAGTTTAAATACCTTTATAGAAAGGTAACTTATATTTTGAATTTTCGTTCTTTGTATCGAACATTAAACAGAATAATAAGGCAGATTTCTAAATACAAAAAGTTATTGTTTTTGAATTAAGCAACCTACTATTACTGTTTTTATCTAAACTGCTGATTTTATTTTTATTTGCACAATACATCAAAGTAATAACTAATACAATTGTAGAACGTAAAAAAAATACATTTTTGAAAATGAAAACCTTAAACATTCATATCAATTTTTTAATAACATCATATTATCTTTCATAAAGAAAAAATTTTAATCATTAAGTGAATGTTGAAAAATCTTTCTAAAACAAGAAATTTTAAAAAAAAATGATAATGGTTCTGAAAAGCTATTGAAAACGAATAGAAAAATCATTTTAACTTTTCAAAACCAATACAAGGACCTTCAAAAATGTAATTTACTTTAGTTTAAGAAGCTGTTAATTGAGATGAAAAGTATTATTATATAATGAAGAAAAATATCAATTATTTATGTATTTTAAGTCAATTAATACGATGACACCATATGTCAAATTGCAATATATTAGCATTTCATATGGCCCAATATGCTGTTCAATGTGAAAAGGATTGTTAATTTAAAATGAGAGAGAAATGGACTTACCTGTTACTAGAACACTGAGGATGATCAAGAATTGAGTTAAGAGAAAACCCATCAAAGCATACCACATGAAGGATATTCTGTACAAAACAAAGGTGCTTCTGAAAATAAAAATAAAAGATGACATATACAGAAAATGCTAATAGGATTATTCAGTCAAATATATATTAATATATTTGATATTACAATGATCTAATATAATCTAATATAACAATATATTCTGTAATAATATATTCTATAATAATATATTCTATAATAATATATTCTATAATGATATATTTCATAATAATAATATATTCCATAATAGTATATTCTACAATAATATTTCCATAATAATATATTTTATAATAATATATTCTATAATAATATATTCTACAATAATATTTTTTTTAATTTCCAATGGCAGATTATAGACAGTAACAGCATACATAAACATCTAAAAATAAGTACAGAAACAAAAGATGCTGCAACAGAGTCTATTAATCACAACATATCTTTAGCTTCCCAATAGCGTTCAGTGATAGAATTCCTGCAAAGTGCAGAGCAGCTGAGAAGATGCGTGGAATCCATGTCCTCTCCAGAACTGCAAAGAGTGCATACCGGGGAAGGAACGCTACCAAATCTAGACAGATGTTTCCGCAGACAGTCATGAACGGTAGCCAAGCGGAATTCAGCCACCGCTCTTCGTCTTGGGCCATTTCGCAAATTTAGGATGGTAGCCCTCCAAGACATAATAGAAGTACGGTCGATAAGTTCTTCATGAGCACAGGTCTTAAAGGTCCTCTTAATAAGCTGTTTGATGGAACAGAAGGGCATAAAGTGCGCAGAAGTCTGAATAATTAAGGCCCCCTTTTTTGCTAAATAGTTAGCATTTTCATTACCCGTGACCCCGCAATGGGCAGGAACCAACTGGAGAACAATGGTTTTCTTAAGGAATGCTAGGTATTCAAGTTGGAGGCGGCAATCCAAAATGTCACGAGTTAAGGGATTATTTAAGGATGCAATGGCAAGCAAAGCAGCTTTTGAGTCACATAGGACAACAGCTTTTTCTAAAAGATCGATATGACACTGTAACTGGGCTAGAGCTATTTGGATTGCAGCTATCTCTCCATCAAAGGCAGATCCCTGTCTCACAGGGGCATAAAAGGAAAAGGCCTTATTCTATAATAATACATTCTATAAATATACATACCTCAGTTTTTCACAATGACAGTTCTGTGCCTAAACTACTACGCCATCACGGATTGAATGTATATTTATTTATTCTATAATAATATATTCTATAAATATACACTCAATCCGTGATGGCGTAGTAGTTTAGGCACAAAACTGTCAATGTGAAAAACTGAGGTTCGATCTCTAGTGACGGGAAAACCTAACTTTATATTATAATTAAGGTAAATTATCGTCTTATTTACTTTTGTTGTACTTTCTTTCAAACTAATTAAAATTTCCACTAAAATGCTATGTATAATGTAATGTTAATCATGGAATAAGTAATTATGAAGGTACAAATCTTGCTAATGAAAATTCATGGATGAAACGTAAAAATTAAAGGATTTTCCATGTGGTTCAAAAAGAAAATACCTGTTGATTTGAAAAATCAATTTAAAAAATGAAACTGCATATAACTAAACAGTTTTCTCCATCCTCGGGAAAAATCAGGATATTTTTCACTGATTTTAAGTATTAGTTACCAAAATTGACAACAGATGACGTAGCTGACTGAGAAAAAGCATAAGCAGTTTTATTTTAACAAACATCATTTGCAGCAACAACGTGGCTTAATCAGAAACCTAAAACTGAACTGTATCTCTCGATTGGTAATTTCAGTTGGAACTATTTCGCAAGCAGCGGGAAAAAAGCAGCAGCTCTGATGTCACAAACAGCAGAACCGAGTAATCTGTTGAAGGATCTTGTAACCGATGTTTAAGCTCAATGGCAATAAATAATCTTAGTTTCTATGCACGAGGCAATGAACCACACATTTACATCATTATCCGTTTTCTTTTTAGTTGATTTAAAAAATCGTTGGTCTCTTCTAGAAGACCCTATAATTTGACGAACTCACATTAAATAATAGAACTAAATTTTTTCATCGAATCTTTCATAATGAGACTATTTTTCATCTATATATGTAACGTTATTATAGTGCATAAATCTAGGTAATGTACCTATTTAAAGGAAAGAGTTCCGATGGATCATAGGTTAAGGCACTGAACTTCCATTGTGGAGAACTGGGTGGCAGCTTGAATCTCACCCAGCTTTAGGTCGATTCCAACTTGTCGTTGTCGTAGTACATTTACGTTGCACTAGAGAATGCACAATGGGCTATTGGCGACGGTCTAGGAAGCATCCCTGAGGATGATCCGAAGACATGTCATCACAATTTTGATCCTCTGTAGAGGGGATGCCACCCCCGTTTCGGTAGGCCGACAACCTGCAAGTGAAGTCGAGCACTTTACAGTAGAACAGTTTAACGAGGACCCATACCGCACACCCTCGGTCCCTACGCAGACTGATCCAAGTGGTCCCCCACCCGCACATTGGCCGCAGCCAGTGATGCTTGATTTCGGTGATCTGCTGGGAGCCGTGTCCTAACGGTCAGTCCACTACGGGACGATTCCAACTTGTCAGAGGAGTAAAGAAGGCGGTGTGCAAAGCTGACAACATTGATACTACCATGCTATTGGTCACGAAACTATGGAGACTTTAACACCCCTGACCCTTTTGTCCCAAAATGGGTAGTTGCGGGATTTATTTACGATTGTTATTGTTAATTTACGTCGCACTAGAGCTGCACAATGGGCTATTGGCGACGGTCTGGGAAACATCCCGGAGGATGATCCGAAGACATGCCATCACAATTTTGATCCTCTGCGGAGGGGATGGCACCTACGATTCGGTAGCCNCGAGGACCCATACCGCTCACCCTCGGTCCCTACGCAGACTGATCCAAGTGGTCCCCCACCCGCACACTGACCGCAGCCAGTGATGCTTGATTTCGGTGATCTGCTGGGAGCCGTGTCCTAACGATCAGTCCACTACGGGACGATTCCAACTTGTCAGAGGAGTAAAGAATGCGGTGTGCAAAGCTGACAACATTGATACCATCATGCTATTGGTCACGAAACTATGGATACTTTAACACCCGTGACCCTTTTCGGCCCAAAATGGGTAGTTGCGGGATTGAGGGAAGTTTTATTTACGAAGCAGAGTTTATTATTGTACTTACTCTTCCGGTATTTGTGTTGAGGACGATATTTTTAAAGCGGAAGTAAAATTAAAACTGCTGGTTAGAGAAACATTGTTTGAAGGACACTCATCTGTGCTTAGAGGAAGTGGCGACTTGACATATCCAGATAGTAATGTTCCAAATCCTATCCATGACATTACTAAATATGACGTAACGAGAGAAAAGGAGACACACTAAAAATAAAAATAATTATTATAATGCATATCTTTTTTAATATACATCATTATTTTAAAATTCTGAAGTATATATTTATAGATTAAACTATTGGAATCGCCTTTTTAATTGGTAAAAGATACTGTGATCATGCGATAAGATTAATTCTCATTCGACTAAATTCAAAGAATGCTTTATGAATGGACTACTTATAAAAGAAGCTTAAAAATCAATAGACTATAAAGTTACAGTGAAATGATTTTTAAATTGCAATAGCTGCTTATTTCCACAACAGAGAAACAATGCTGCCCGAAATAATGATGCAGTCACTTTTTACCAAACATTTAAAAGAAATGTCGGAAATTTTTTTTAAAAATTTTTTTACAATTTTAAAAAATAAATATTGCTGAGCAATATTTAATTCAAAACTTAAAAATACAAGACACGTTTTTCGTTGAAGTTATAGAATCATAGTTATTCTATTCAAAAGTCTATTTGCACATAAAATAAAAACGAAGTCAAGAATTATTCTGCAGAGTTTTTATAACCTTCTTCTATTAATTTATGACTCTAAATGTAAAGATATTTTTTTCTTTATTTACTAATAAGATAGATATCTGACTGTCTAATCATGAAAAGGTTTGGATAATTTAATGAAGTTTGATAGTTTCTGTGCAAAATAAATTCTCAAACATAAATTATTATTATATTTTTAAGATATTATATTTTCAATTTTTATTTTAAGTGTTAAAATTAATTAATAATCAATTCGTTCAGTGCTTTTATTAAGTGTTTGTCAAGTGCTATTCTTATGAAACGAAATATAAATATTTAATTTGCAATTATCAACAACCAAGGATATTACTAAATGAATTACCTTATCAGACGCTTTCCTCGTCAAAACACCGGTTAAAAAGACGGCAAGCATTGGACCTTCCAATGACGTTAACATGATGTTTAATAATTGTACTAGACTTTTCACTTCTAAGAAACAGAAGCTGAGGCCAATACATACACCACCATATATCACAGCTTTTGAAAATAAAAATGAATTATTATATTAAAAAAGAATTTTGCGTAAAAGAATAAACAATTGTCGTATTGATAGCTGAATTTTGAACAGATTTTCCGGACCGGTTAATTTTTGAGTGAAAGTAGACAACATTTGTGTTACAAGGAGAGAAAAACCACGAATCCATTGAATAAGCGGACAAGATGTAACTATAATCCATGATCTGTTTATCTCAAATATAGACATACCAATAATTCTAAGATGACGGGGAAATTTGAATCACAGTTTTACTGCAATAAAAGTGGTTTTTGTCATAACTCATGAACATTTTCATAAGTACGAAACAATAAATATATTTATACATTTAAATATAATTGAATCAATTATGTACTTCCTTACCATTTTATGTCACGCCCCTTTTAATTCGAGATGAAAAAAATCTTAAAATGCGAAATATAAGACATTATAACAAAGACTGATGGGGCAAAATTTCTTCTATGACATAAAATATATCCTAAAGTTCCTTTTCGTACAATAGTCTAGGAAAAGTTTTCGTGGTTTTCCTATACTTATAACACAAATGTTGCTTACTTTAACTCAAATGTTCTCCAGAATGGCGAGTTTGTCGCCAAAAGTTCGTAATCCAACTTTATAATTCCGGTATTTTATTATTCGTATTTTTGCTTATTTTAATGCTACAAATATTGATTAGAGAGATGCGTGATACTAAACGGATCTAGTTGTAGAGATCCATAGGCTTCAACCCCTGCGGTATCTTGTCCACCATAGGTAATTTCCAGTTGTCAGGAAAGTAAATGCAATACTGACCACTTTGACGTCAGCATTCTATTTAGGCTAACGACAGCCTGTTGAGGGTCTGCTTCTTTTATTGATTTAAGAGTAAGGGCATGAATAATACCCTGAAAAAATTATGGGAAAAAATACCGGTACCTTACACGTAATCGCCATTTTCTCCAGAATATATTGCGGAACAAAAATCTGATATACCATAGTATTTAAAGTAATATTTACAATAAAATCATTGAATCACTCCAATTAAAAAAATATTACTGTAAAAGTTATGGTATAATATTTACGGTAAAAATGGATTTTACGGATGATACAACCAAAGTGCTGATACCTCATACCGTAATTTGATCCGATATCTTTTGCAGCGTAGGTGATAACTTTCAAGAGCAATTAAGCATATTTTTTCAATGCAAATTGTTATTTTTGGGGGAAAATATTTTATACATGCATTAAATAAATAAGAAGTTTCATATTCAATAGCCTTTTCTATCTGATTTCATCTTACTTCCTTTTCAAATTCAAAACTTTCTGTTCAAACCTAATTACAAAAAGTTATTACAGAGTTAAAATTACTTGATGAAGACAAAAAAGTTATAAAATTACAGAATAGCTTTACTAGAAAGACTGTTTTTAAATCCGAAAGTGTCCCTTTCTTGTAGAATGGTTTAATGAAATCGATTACAGTCACAGTTGAGGCAGAATTGAGGCAGGATGACATCGTACTTAAGGATGCACTGAAGATACCGGCAATACAAACACCTGTCAATCCAGGAATGGAGTTAAATCTATTGACAATGTATGCAGGAACTATCTAAAATTATAATAAAAATTTAGGAAGTATTAGACATGAAGCAACGTGTATTCTGGATATTTGATGCTTATTTTTAGAATTTTTGAAGAAATTAAAGTGTAAAGCAGACAGCCATGATATTGGGCTCAAATCAATACTAAACCTAATAAATAATAAAAGCATTATTAAAATCTGCCGAATTATTATCGAAGTCACTTATAGTAAAGGCTAGACTTAATGTTTGAATATCAATTTATACAAATTCAAAAGCATTAACATGTGATCATGAGTGACATCTTGAAGTTTTATTTAGAAATCGCACTTGTTTTCACTCTTTCAAACACTTGATATTTTTCTGAAAATCTTTAAAACAGATCTAAATTTTTTACAAAGATTCCATTCTTGTATTTATTGAAAGTATTCAGTAGGGACAAACCAGCATAAGAGTGTAACTGAATCAATTATTACAACTATTTATAACAACTAGCTCGTCTCAAATTTGACAAATTACGTAAAAGGTACCTATGTTTCAGCTATTTCAATTTGATTCAACTTCCTCAGAGTTTCCTCTCTATCTAATTAAAATAAAATTGTTTTCGTAAAAACATGGAACTTTAAAAATGTTTTTTTTTAAAAATTTTTAGAAAAATTATTGAAAGAATACTAAAGATAAATACAATACTCGCAGATTAAAAAAATATACAATGTAAATTATACGTCAAACACACAGTTTGTTTAATCGGGACAATCCTTTTAATCTGAGCAATTCAAACGTTTTAACCCAAAATCTACACAAAATTTAAATTAATAAAAAACAATAAAGCAATGAATTTTAAAATATTTTGTTATTATTTATTACAAACATTTAAACCAAAATGGATCTAAAAGAAAACTTTCATCACAAAATCAGTTTAAAACTGGTTTTCAAATTTTAAGCTACTGATGGCGAACCAATGGCACGCGTGCCATTTATGGCACGCGACACAATATTTTGGGCACTCCACAGATCACAATTGTTGTTACACTATGAATTGTTTTTACACAAATGTTATAACGCTATGAAGCATATGTAACAATTAAATTAAAATTCACAAAAAGCAAACAAAATATTAAACAAATATTAATAAAAAAATTAAAAATTAATACTAAAAAACAATTAATAACCGTAAAAAACAAGCTAACAATAAGTAACTAGCAAAACAAAATCAACAGTCCTGCTTAAACTTACATCTTAGAACCTCTAATCTGCAACAACAAAAGTCACATTGATGTTACTTTAGGTTGAATTACTTGTATAACTGAGACATTGCAAAATGTATTTTTTTTCAATGAAAAATAAAGAGTTTTGAGTTGATAGTATTTAGTATTACTATTTTCCCAATAATCACGAAGTCAAAATTATTTGACGGCACGTCTATGACCTCATTAAGCAATTTCTTAGAGAAAATGGCACGTTGGTGTATAAAGGTTCGCCACCCCTGTACTATGATATCTCTTTGCAAACTTGTATTACATTGAATACATTTTTTATTTTATAAAATGTTCCTAATTGCTTTGATATTTTGTTTCTAGGATATTAAAACTATGCAAAAATTAGCATTTAAACAAAACTTTTAAATACGATTTACATTGTAAATTAACACCTGATCTTACCTGATCATACCTACTTAATCCTGTTTGATTGACATTTAGAATCGGATCACAGTGATAGTATACAGAATAAAGTACAATACCATAAATGTGGGTGAGGAAAAATATTGCCGATGCCGGCAAAATAGTCAGATGCAAAGTTCTGTAAGTAGAAAATCATTTTACTCCTTTAATAAATTATATTTATGTTTGTCAATTTCAAAAAAACTATTATAAATATCTGTTAAATAATGAACTTGTATGAAGACAATTTAGCACTTATTGTCCAAATTATGCAATTTGTTAATCCTAGTTTTTAAGATGTTTAATGAAAATACATCTTTTACGTATATTAGAAATATGTGTTTAAATAAAATTGAGAAGGAAATTAATGTTTGCTTAATGAGGAGCTTATTATTAAGTATGTGGGGAAAATCCCTCATGAGTTCATAAAAAAATTAGGAAATTTATTGCATTTATTTAAAAATTTATTAAAAAAATTATCGTGATTTTTTATAATTACGAAATATTTTTAAAAAATTCCCAAACCTAAAACTTTGCTTATTATCTAAAACTAAATGCATAAATATATTTAAATAATTTTTATTTAGCAAAGTCTACTCCATATGCATCGAAATGTTTGAAAGATTTTAAATTTAGTTTTTGATTTTTAAAAAAAAAGCAGCAAAGCAAAAATGTGTGAAAAAATTAAGCCTATACATTAAGATCTTTAAACAAAGTTGAGTTGCAATTCTACGTACATATTTTCACGTGCTATTTCCATGCAATAAATCAGTGTTTCCCAAACTTATGAATTTTGTGTACCCCTTCTAAATTTTTCGTAACGCTGTGTACCACTAATAAAAAATGAATGCATTTTTCACTATAAAAATTTTCACAAAAGTTAAAAATCACAACTGGCTGTTGACACTACTAATTACACAAGCCTGCGATGAAAAAAATACAAAGGGTCTGATAGCTGAACTTAATGTATTTTTTGGTGCTGAAGTGGAAAATAATAATGAAAAATTTCTATCACGTCACGTTTTTTAGAAAAATTCAATTTTACTGGAATTTTTATGAACATTTACCATAAAAATTAGAAAAATTCAATTTTACTGGAATTTTTATGAACATATACCATAAAAAAAAAAGTTTTTGAATTTCTATCCCTTCTTGACTGACCAGCATTCTACTTTGGTCAAATCTACATAAGTACCCCTCTATTACTACTTCCTGTCACCGTCCCTCTCTCTGTCACAATATCCCTCTACCAATAGCGTCACGAGAATCCTTATCTAGTTTCGCTGACCTCTCAGAAACACTAGCAAGCGTAATAGGGAGTCATTTTAAAGTCTTCTTTTTTCTGTGCGTTTCGTGAAACATGGCTTCGAGTTCGAGACATTGTGAAAATTTCCCAGATGACTTTTGTTATATATGCGGCGAATATTGTGTTGTTAAAAATCGAATGAGGAACATTACAGACTATGTAAGACAACTTTATCTCGCATATTTTGGCATGAAACTCGGAGATCAGGACAAATCTTGGGCACCTCATAAAGTTTGTGTGCAGTGTCTCAATGATCTACGCTTATGGCATCAAGGAAAGAAGACTACTTTACGATTTGGGATTCCTATGACGTGGAGGGAGCCCCAAAACCACTTTGATGATTGTTATTTTTGTTCCTGCCATGTTCGTGGGTATAACCGAAAAAATCAAAGACTAATATCTTATCCTGATAACATTCCATCGGCCATACGCCCTGTTCCTCATGGACCTGATGTGCCTGTGCCTTTGCCTCCAACTGAATTGCCAATCATCTCTTCAGAGTCTTCAGATTCGGAGCATCCAGAAGTTCAAGGCTCCGATATCGAATATAAGCTTTCCGCAGACGGTTCTCCTCAGCCCTTCTCTCAGGTTGAGCTTAATGATCTGACTAGAGATCTTGGCCTTTCGAAAGAGGCAGCTGAGTTGTTAGGCTCCAGACTGAAAGAAAAAAACTTATTGGCCAAAGGAACATTTTTTTATTGGTACAGAAATCGTGAAAACGAATTTATTAAGTACTTTGATGAAGAGGAGAACTTGGTCTATTGTTCTGATGTTCCATTGATGAGCAAATTTAATGTCATCTACGATAAGGATGAGTGGAGGCTGTTTATAAATTCCTCTAAAAGAAGCCTCAAAGCTGTTCTTCTTCATCATGGGAGTCAGTATGCATCAGTACCAGTTGGACACTCAGTATATTTAAAAGAATGCTACGAAAACTTGGCTCTCGTCCTGAACAAAATCAAATATATCGACCACAGTTAGACTATTTGCGGTGATTTGAAAGTTATCTCCATGCTTCTTGGTCAACAAGGGGGATTTACAAAGTGACAAAGTTACAAGTGAAGTATGTGAGTGGGACAGCCGTGACAAGACTCAACATTGGGTCAAAAAAGAATGGCCAAAAAGACAAAATCTTGACCCAGGCACAAAGAACGTTATTCGAAACAGCTTAGTTGATCCGAAAAAAGTATTGTTACCTCCGCTACATATAAAATTAGGTGTAATGAAGCAGTTTGTCAAGACTGTTCCAAATGATGGCAATTGTTTCAAATATCTTTGCAAAAAGTTTCCAGGTTTATCCCAAGCTAAGTTGAAAGAAGGAATATTTGTTGGTCCAGATATCCGCAAACTCATGAAGGATAAAGAATTTGAGACTAACATGACAAAAACGGAGAAAGAAGCTTGGGTTGCTTTCAAAGATGTCGTCAATAAATTTCTGGGTAACTACAAGGATCCTGATTATAAGGAAATCGTAACGAAAATGCTGGACAAATTTAAAACGCTGGGTTGCTCCATGAGTGTAAAAATGCATTTCCTTCACTCACATGTGGACTTTTTCCCTGAAAATTTAGGAGCAGTCAGCGAAGAGCATGGGAAAGGTTCCATCAAGATATCAAAGATATGGAGCGTAAATATCAAGGAAGATAAGACAAGAACATGCTCCCTGACTACTGTTGGATGATAGCTCGGGATAAACCTGAGATTAAGCATAAAAGAAGATTATCAAAAATACGTTTCAGAGGAAAACGAGTATGTACTTAAATAGAAACTTTTCTCTTTTGTTTTTTGCTTGTTTTGATTTTTGTTTGTTTTGTTTTTTGTTTCAAACTTTCATATACACATACACAATATTTGTTATTCTTAGTCAATCGTCAATTTTACGTCAGTTATCTCAATAAAATATCAATAAAAACAAATTACAATGGTATGTTGGTGATTTTCTTCTAGAATCTGGTGTAAAAAGTTTGAACGCAAGGAATTTATTGTTTTTTTCTCGACCAGAGGTTACTTGTGCTGTCTGGTAACAGTATTTTTTAAAATTAGCTGATAGCTCAAAAATCAATTTTCTTTCACAAGATTAAATTTTACATGGATCAAAATGAATGAAGAGAGCAATTGCCGGACAGTACATGCAAAATTGTTTGAGAGAATTCTTTTCCAAATAGGATTTTAGTAAAAACATTAATATCGATTTTATAAAAAATCCTGATATGATTGGGAAAAATGAAGGTCATTTTCGAAATCAGCACATCAAATAACATATAAATCAACAAGAACTTTTCTTGTATTTTTCCAAAAGTTCAATTTCGCAGGATTGTGTTATTAACTGCTAACTCTGCAAAAAATGGCTAATAGAAAATTACGTAATCGTAAACTTTCATGGCTAGCTTTGTCTTTAAACAAAAATTTTTGAAATTTTCGTTTGCTGCAAGATATTTCGCATAAGAACGCGTACCCTCGTTAAACTGTTCCCGTACCCCTGGGGGTACGCGTACCACACTTTGGGAAACACTGCAATAGATCAATAAGTCGTCGAAAAATTTTATATTCTCGTTATAGCAATTCAGTATTTAATTACCAAGTCAATTACCTTCAATTATTCCTCATACAATTACTGACTGAATTTTAACCGTCGTTTTTAAAATGCAACTAAGCACTCAGAACCATGCATATTTACCAAAATAGCAGTTGGTAAAAACTTAAATTTCATTAGTAATTTATGCGTAAATGGTTATTAATTAAGAGTATTGTCAATAAACAACAAGTTTAATGAGTTAATTACACTCATTTTCACTTTTGCGCACACTGTAAAAAATTCCAGATTGAATTTCTGAAGGAAAACACCGACACTCAGGTTGCCGGTGCATTTTACCATAAAAACCATTTTTACCGGAAAATGCTAGGTAACAAAAAAACTTATATTCCGTAATTTTTTATACAATAACATTTACACTAAAATCTCCAAACTTAAGTTTAATATTAATTACGCTGTTAATATTAATTACAAGTTCAAAGTGTTAATTACACTCACATTCGCTTTTATGTGCACTGTAAAAAATTCCAGATCAAATTGCTGTAAAAAATACCGACACTCAGAGTGCTGGTACATTTTGCCGTAAAATCCATTTTTACCTGAAAGTATTATGTAACAAAAAATCTTTGATACCGTAATTTTTTATACAGTAATGTTTACTATAAAATCACTGGAATTAAGTTTAATGTTTATTACTATAGTTTAATGCGTCAAATACTTATTTTCACTTTTGTGTACACTGCAAAAATTTCCAGGTAAAATTACTGTAAAAAAACACCGACACTCAGAGTGCCTGTACATTTTACCATAAAATCCATTTTTACCAGAAAATGTTAAGGAATGAAATATCTTATATACCGTAATTTTTTTACAGACATATTTACCATAAAATCACTGAAATTAAATAAATATTACTTTAAAAATTACAGCATAAAATTTTAGGGCAAAAATGAATTTTATGACGGAAAGGATTTTACAGATTTTGCAAGCAGAGAGCAAAAGCTTTTTACCGTTATTTGATATGAAATATTTTACAGTGTAGAAGATTTAGATTAGTCCATAATTTATGATTATGTTTCAACGAAAAGGAAATGGGTAATAGTCTTTTTAAAACAGATAAATATATGTTAATGTTGGTGAGAAATCAAAAAACTATTCTTTTTTAATCTATTTGACTTTTAATTTTGATCTATTTGATTTAATACCTAAGACAAAAAGAAGTTTGCTTTAATAAAATTTTCACGCTAAATAAAATTAAATAAATTATACTAATATTTATAAAAATTATGGAAGTAAAACCTACAATATTGCAACAGATTTATATTTAGTTCTTTTTTTTTTCATAAAATAATTTAGAAAATGCGCAAAGTGTACATTCGTGGCTTTTATGACTTGAATTATTGAAATGAATTATTGAAAATCAGAAACATAATAAAAATTAACATCGAATGATTGATTTACTTTCAATTTTTTTTTAAATGCAAACGCTTTAAGTATTGATTAAGAGCAGTTTAATAGGTAATTAACAAAATTTTAAAAATAACTAAAATATATATTTCAAAATCAAAATATTAATAAATAACTATAAATAATTATAAAAATATATTAATAAATAATTATAAATAATTATAAAAATATATTAATAAATAATTATAAATAATTATAAATATATTCAAAATCAAAAAATCAATATACCAAAATCCAAAAAGGATAGGGTATATTTTGAGCAAGTTAGACTAAAGTAAAACTGTTAAATTGATCAAGAATCTCAATACTGTGTTTCATATTTTAACTTGATAACTTCTGCTTATAGCGTAATTACTTAGGATAATTTTCTTTTATTTTGAAACAAAAATAGTTAAAATTCAAAAAAATTTTAAAGCGCCTTGAGCAATATGAGCGAAACATTTTTATGATTCAAAATTTTAGTTTTAACTTACGATCTTGCTCTTTCAGCGGTACTTAAGCTTAAAACTCTTTGAACTTCAACTTGATTAGTTCCATAAAATGCAATTGCATAAAGTATTCCGCGAATCATACAAGCCCAGATATCGTGTCGCTTAGTGAAATCTAATCTGAAACTAACAAAGGTTTATAAGCATATTTATAAGTTTTAAATTTTTTATTGAAAAAAAAAGCAGAAAATGGACGAGCGATTAATTCTCACTTGGGCCGGATCACGCTATTGGTCGAAAATGACATCACTGTTTGGGGAAGGGATATACTGTGTATTGCATAGTATTTTGGTGACAGATTTTATGTTTAGTTTTCAAATGCGCTCTATTTACACGTGGTATTAATGTTTAGTAATAAAGACAATATTCACATTTCGCACAGTTTTGTGGTAATTTTTTATTAGAATCTAAGTAAGTGAAATTAAGCTATACTGCTTTTGCGTCATTAGCAACTGGGGTTGTTCTAGAAATGCAGGGGGGAGGCTAGCCCAGAATTTTGGATTTGATTATGAAGTTTTTAAAATTATTATTAAATTGCGATGTATGAGTAAATTTGAGCTTATGTTTATTTCAATTTTTGTTACTTCATAACTGCAAAAGATAATTCTTATGGAAAAACAAACAAACGAAAAAAAAACGTATTTGTAATATTACTATACCATCTTATATTTGTAAAAACATTCATTATTTTTATTGTTTTTAGCTTTGATGAATTTAAATCAATTAAAACATAAATATTGTCTGAAATGCTGAAGTGGACATTTACCTATCTCCCCACCCTAACGACGACATAATATTAAGTAAACATTTGCAAGGAATAAATAAATTCCGAGCGAGCAAGTGTGCATACGAAATTTGTCGCCAAACTCATACAAACACCAGCCAACAGCCACCATCTCCCTTCCCCCAAACAGTGATGTCATTTTCGACCAATAGCGTGATCCGGCCCAAGTGAGAATTAATCGCTCGTGAAAATAGTGCTAAAGACGAATTTTCTTTAAAGTTAGAACATAGAGAAACTCAATATCACAAATTTTTAGGCAAAAAAGGAAACCAACCTCCAAATTCTAATTCAAGTCGCTTATAGAGACAATTAATTGCTGAAAATGCATAATATTTCATTCATGAAAGGGATTAAAACTAAAAAGTTAGAAAATGTAACTAAAAATAGAAATTAGATTTTACACTAAGAAAAAAAAATGGTCAAAATTAGCAAAAAATGATAAAATTTACCGTGTTTCTGGCTCTATGGGAGCACCAAAAAGCTCGGTAATTTTCACCGAAGCGCTTTGGTAATGATTTTGGTAAAATTAAAAATAAAATACGGTTTTTTTAATATGTAATAAAATTCGATAAATATTTGGTAGTTTTATCATGACACCTTTGAACATGGCTTAAAAAATACAGTCCCTGGAGAAATTATTTGACGCACTTTGAGATTCTGCCGCATCTTTCCTTTTGCTTCTGCCTCAATTCGTCCTCCGACTGATTTTTTTTCTCTATGCGTCGTACACTAGCTTCAGAAACCTTCCATTTTCGTGATATTTTGCGGTTTGAAAATATTTTAGCATTCACTAGGGTTTTTAGCTTTTTTACATGGTGAAAGATCGCCATTTTTACCCATGATAAAAATGTTCTAATTGATTATTTATACACTGCGCACAAAATAAACAAATAACTGCGTAGTTTAAAATTGCGAAACATATAAACACAGAGCATAAAGTCGCACACTGTTAAAAATTCCTCGGAAAAAATGGTTCAATAACAATTTATTGAATGGTTATTTTACCATATTTAGTCAAAACAGTCAAATAACCATAAATATAACGGTAATCAAACTGGTAAGTTTGAGAAAAACCGTTTGTTAACTGCTTTTCCCTAATACGGTTAAACAACCAGAATTTTATCGCACCAACTAGAACCGACCTAATGAAATTACTTTTTTTTTGTCAATGCGTACATATATCGTAGCCGAGCGGGCTTATCTGTCGATCTCATGACCGGCAGAACTGGAGTTCGAGTCCTAGTCCAGTACAATATTTCCTCCCTTCCCTTCAACATATGAAGAATTTCCAGTGTCCAACACTCTCCAATGCCCATTACCTAACGCAAAGGTGCACTCCTATGTCTAGTTAAACAATAAAAAAAAAAATTTACGTTTTTGAAAAATGCTAGTTGTAAATGGTTACAAAATCGTATAGTTTTGTATTCATGGTTTTATAACCATACTTTTTGTAAATGGTTTCAAAACCTTAAAGGAAAAAAATGTTCTTTACCGTAAACTTTACGGTTAATCGGATGGACAGACAGCTGCCAGTTATTTAACCATAATTTTAGAAGGAAAATTTTAACAGTGCAAAAACACTTCCGCAACTGACACACGTGACAACTGACTGAACCGGTTTGCACTTGTTAATGTTCGTGTATCAAGTGATTAACATTGTAATGCGATACATTAAGAATAAATTAAAATAGGAAATATATAAAAAAATCTCCTGAATGAAAACCCATTCCATGTATGTTTAAATATAAAAGTATTACATACGAACCCGTGCAAAACATGTAATTATTAAAAAACTACAGTGTGTCGAATAATTTGGTCAGAGACTGTAGTTATTTGATTAAACTTACTTTTCAGTTTTGTATTTTTTTACTAATTGTGTGATAACATGAATTGTAACTTTGAAATCCAGAATTTCCGCCAAACATTTACCATATGAACAGAAAAATCGCCATATGAATGGTTTAAGTACCGTATATTTTGGTTTGATTAACCAAAATTATATTGCTTCATTTGCCAGAAATGTCATTATATTACAGAACGGTAATTTTACCAGAAATTTTTTCTCCTAGTACAGTTCGAATACGAAGTTTATGATACCATTTTAAAGATTGACACTCGAAAATATTTATGACATAAAAAGCATAACACATATTTTTGATGCAGATTTTTGAAATTACTTTCTTCAGGGATATTTTAAAATTGAAATTTTTCTTCATGAAACCCAAATCTCCCTACCAATTTTGAAAAAAATAAATTACCCATTGGATGCAAAAAAATAAAGTGCCTTTTTAAAAATGGACATTTTTAATAAATATTTGTATCAAAAAATAATAATTTCGTGGAAAAAATTTATAAAATGAATTTTTAAGAAATCGCTTGTAACCTTGAAAGTTGAGTGACCTGCACAGTTTTTAAAACAATTGCAACTCGAAGGCAACGTCTATGACACTATTTGAAATATTGACATGCTGCATATTTATGCCATATTTATGTCATATATGCTGCATATTTATGCATAAAAATATAAGTAAAGGTTTTTTTTAAAAAATTTCCTATGAGCTGCACAATCAGTCTTCCCTATGAGCAGACCTAGTGCGTTCTCCAGAAGTGATATCCACTCTTTCAGGACCACCACAATGGGTGAGATACCACTGGCCATGTTAATTTGGACGTCTAGTTTCTGCCACTCCAGATGGCAGCACCGAGACTCTATTTGGATGCTACAGTGCGCTAGGAATTTAATTTTGCCGGAAATACCAACAGCCAATAAGGCACTAAAGGGATCTTTTACATGCCGCATAATCATACGACATGGCCGCTGAGGATTTTCTGCATCCCAAAATTCCGATGTCTGGGCCGGGAGTCAAACCCACAGACTTGGGCTCAGAAGGACGGCGACAAACCAACTGCGCCACCCAGCGACATATAAATAAAGGTTGTGGGAAAGATTCATTAAATTAATTTCTAAAACATCTCTCATAATATTAAAAGTTTAGAAAAGTTTAGCAAACCCAACATTTGAGTAACGTTGTTGAAAACATTAACGACTCGAAGTCAAAGCGTTTGAAACCGTTTAAAAAATTAACAATTATAGTATATATCATAAAATTATGACGAAGATTTGTGAAATTAATTTCTAAAGAGTCAAATGTAACGTAAAATAGTTAAAAGTAAATTTAACGTTTCTTCACAACTCTTTTACGTTTGGCTACCGTTTTTGAGACTATATTTTTGTGTGATACTTAAATAAATAATTTATATCTTAATAGACTTTTTTTCGGTAGTAATTCGTAATAATGTTTTCTAAAGTGCCCTTTTTCAATATTAAAAGCTTAGCTAAGTTTGAAATTTTGACCAAAACAGATGCATTTTTAAAAAAATTATCATTTATTGAATTTTAAAAATCAGTATTTATTAGTTTAACAATCGTTTGTGCAAATTATTGCTTGGTTACAATATAAAATTGATATATAAGAGGCAGTTTTTTTCCGGATTACCCGAATATTTATCTGTTGAGAGCAAAAACTTTATTGTTACTAGTTACTACTTTACCACAAATGAATTTGATGAAATATATGGTGAGTTAGGGTAATATAAACACATTAAGAAAATGTGAAAACTCCATAACTCCGTTAATTTTTTTATTCAGATAAGAAATCTAGTATGCAATTATTTTCAATGCTACAGATTGGTGCCATTTTCAGTACACTGTAAGAATTTCCTGATCAAATTACAGTATAAAGTACCGGGACTTAGAATGCATCATCCATAAAATCCATTTTGCTGTAAAATCCATTTTTACCGTGAAAGATTATACCATAGTTTTTGCAGTGATAATTATTTTATCAGAGTGCGTCAGTCCTTTTATGGTAATTATTACTGCAAAAATTACATTGTATCAGATTATTTTTGTTCCGTAGCATGTTCCAGTAAAAATGAATTTCAAGGTGCCGGAATTTTTTTAATTCCAACACCTTGAGTGCCGGAAATTTTTACCATAATTTGATTCTAAATTTTTTACAGTGTAACATTTTCCAAATTTTGATTGCACGTAATAATTTAATATAACTATCTCGAAGTTCGAAATTTTGTTTCCTGTTAATTTGTTTCCTTTAATTTTGTTTCCTGTTAAGGGAAATAGAATGGTTTTTATTTTTTAAAATGCTTACTCAAAAAATTCAAGTCTGCCACCCCCTTTTGCGTTGTTGTAAACATTTACAAAACCACCTCCATCTTTAAAACCTACGACATACAAAGAAATTACACATATGGTTATAAGAGCAGCTTGAAATACATCTGTCCATAAAACAGCTCTTAAGCCACCCTAAAATATAATAATATTTTTATTTAATCCTGAAACATAAAAATATAATAAAAAAGTATAAATATGAAGTTAGAAAATTTAAGTATTTATATGCAATGCACGAAAAAAACTGACCAACCTGAATGACTTTTGATATAATGATCAGAACTTCAGGTTCCAGGACTCAATCTTAATGGTCCAGTCTAATGCACTCAATCTAAAAGTCGAATTTTAAAAATTCGATTTCTCAGAAACTATTCGACCAATTTCACTCAGATTTGGTATTTTGCCAAGTGAAATTACATACTTTAGAATAATGTAAAAGTTTTTATACATCACAGTTAAAAAAATTTTCGACTATTATTAATTAAAGCAGTGTTTCCCAAAGTGTGGTACGCGTACCCCCAGGGTACGTGAACAGTTTAGTGGGGGTACGCGTTCTTATGCGAAATATCTTGCAACAAACGAAAATTTCAGAAAATTTTATTTAAAAACACAGTTAGCCAAGAAAATGCGCGATTGCGTATTTTTCTATTGGCTATTTTTTGCAGAGTTAACAGTTAATAATTAGTGGCGTCAGCAGCCAGCTGTGATTTTTAACTTTTGTGCAATTTTTTTATAGTAAAAAATACATTCATTTTTTTTATTAGTGGTACACAGCGTTACGAACAATTTAGAAAGGGTACACAAAAGTTTTAAGTTTGGGAAACACTGAAATAAAGTAATAAAAATAATAAATATTTACATAAAGTCATTATTTACTTAGAATTATATTTAGATAAACGAATTTTATAACTGAAGAGCTTAGTGGAAAATCCGTCTAAATGACATTTATAAAAAAATTAGATTAGAATAGAGAAAGTTCCTGTTTTAGCTTTATTTAAATACTAGGGGGCTAAGCCCCCTGTTCGCTGCCGCTCACCAACCCCCATGATTGCTTCGCAATAATTGTTCTTTTTTGTCAGAAAACAGTTTTTCTACTAAAGTTAAATTATTCCCTTAATATAGATATATTAAAAGGAATAATTGCGTGCTGATGACAACCAAAGTAATATTGAAATGAATGAGGAAAAACTAGATCCTACCTCGTGATTTTTAGGCCAGTAGAAATGCACGGACAACAATGGAAAACTATGACACCATCACAAGACATACTCAAAATAAAATAAAAATCACCGCTCTGCTTTAGATGGTAAGTTTAGTCGTAACATTTTAGCAAGCAGCATTATTAAAAACTATAACTTCTTCTCACATTTGCGGTCTCAATTTTAATTGGCTGTTTTGTGCGTTACTAGCCGCAAGTCTTCTGTGATTGGCTATTTGTTATCATTTCACTCTCTTCTTATATTATACAGTCAAACCCCGCTATAGTGAACATGGTTCATAGTGAACTCCCGGACATAGTGAACGAAATGTTCGGTCCCGTGCCTTGCTATACACGGATAATGTTATTTTTTGTGGATATAGTGAACCAAAAAAGTGAGGAAGTTGGATATAGTGACCTTTTTTCTGTGTTCGACTGATTTTTTTTTTAAAAAAATTTGTAATGTAATTTTGGAATTTCTACTTCAAATTAAATACATACACCGATTTTAAAAACCATATATAGAGGGGAATGTAGCGATAAGCATTTTTCTTGTTTGTTTCTTTTATCTCATCCTAAATTATTCTTTTATTTCATCCCTAAACAAACCAAGCAGACGATGCACCTGTAAGTACAGGTGCATCGTCTAAGGTGAGTAAGTCAATGATTGAAACAATAATTATTTAAAATTAGTCGCAAGAATTTTGAAGCTGCATATTTAGGCCAAAAAAATTAAATTGCATAATTAAAGTGAAATCTTATTTGACAGCTTTATCAATATGCATTTTTTTCAGAGGGAATGAGTAATTATTAATTATTGGTCAAGGAGTTGGACACTAATATGTGTTGATAAGGCCCTCATTTCAACTCCTTTTTGCTGTCAGTTCAGTTAAAATAAATCCTGCAAATAAGTGTCTCAAATTTAACTATGGCTAGCAGTAAACGTAAAACGTTCTCCATTGATGATAAAATGGGCATAATCAGAAAAATTGAAAATGGATGCAGTCAAGCTGATATTTGCAGGGAATATAAACTATTCAAATCTACAGTTTGTAACATATGGAAAAATAGGCCATTAATAATTTCTGCTCATGAAAAATGTTTAGATGGTGGAAAAAAGTTGAGAAAAGCAGATCACAAGGATAATGAAGAAACATTGCTGAAGTGGTTCACCAATCGAAGAAGCCGCAATCTTCTAGTATCTGGCAAATGTCGAGGAATTTTCTAAGCGATTTTATGAGACTACTTTTATGTGCTAGAATGGCAGGTTTAAAAAGCGGAATAACAGAAGTTCAGGAAAAATTATCTGAGAGTCGGGAAGTGTTTCCATATCTGATGGTGAAGATTGCACATCAGCTAAAGATTACTAATTTTTTTGTACGCAAGACGAAGAGTAATGAAAAGTAACACATTTTTTGCATCTACATAATATTTTTCAGTCATTTATTTGAATAATGTGTAATAAAAGGAAGGAGTTAAGGAACCATTAGTTAAATTGCCTGCGTAACGGATATAGTGAACTCCCGGTAATAGTGAACCGACACTTCGGTCCCTTGAAGGTTCACTATAGCGGGGTTTGACTGCATAAAGATATAGCATTCATTTATATTGCTAAATTTATTCATTCTGACGATACTCAATGGAAGAACGAACCGGATAAGTGATTTGGCAACAAATAGTCAATAAACAATCCTAGAAAATCCCTTGCTTGGCATTCAACGCTAAGGCGCGGGGAGATAAAATTGGTGAAAATGAGAAACTCGAAACAGTAGCTTTCATTCATTAAGAAGAAATTTATGTTTTTTTTTCGAATCAATAATTAAAGAAGACAAGAGAATATAACCTTTAAACAGTTTCTACATACTCTTTTTTTATTTCCGGCTCGCATTAGTTTGTGTTTCAGACACATTGTGTATTAAATTGTTAGCATACTTGGGTCATCCCCTCAGACCATTAAGATTGAGTCCTACAACTTAAAGATACGATCATTAGATCAGAAATTATTCAGGGTAATGCGTTTTTTCTTTTTTTTACACACTATGTATTTACTAAAAATGTATATGTTAAAAATGTTAACGATTTTTTGCTGTATGGACATAGTAATGATATAGACTTTTAATAATTTATGACAAATAATAAAACTTTCAATTCTAAAATGTAGGACTAAGAACATTTGCCTGTATTTTTTATAACTTGGTATTTTTAAAATAATTTGTAGATACACACAATTTAATTGTGAAAAAAATCCCAATCAAAATTTTTTGAGTTAACCGCTATTGTTAGAATCTAACAGTTTTATTTTTTAATTTTTGTTTTCAAATTTAGATGCAATTTTTAGTTATCTGGTTCTATTTGATCATGACAAAACATTTCCAATGAAAAGAAATCGTTTGATGTATATATATTTAATAACAATAAAATACTAATCTTAAGTTAGATTTAAAATGAGCGAGAAAAAATATTTAGTTGTTAAATTTTTATTTCATGTAATACTTGCTATTAAACTTTTACTTCTAAACTCGTTACTAACAGATAAACTTAATGTTTCGATCTAATGTTATGTTTCTCTAAAGATACAATCAGTAAATTACTTTGTTTAAAAAGTTATTGATATATAATTGAGTATTTCAAAATAAATTACTGAAATTGTGGGGAGGAAGGAGACAGGTTGCTTTGAAGAAATTACTATCAAGGCTGCTATAAAACTATCTGTTGTATCAATTTTTAGCATATTCAAAAATATAAACATTCAATATCTGATTAGCTTAAATTTATTTTACATTGCGAGTTTTTAATTTATTATTTATTTTTTAAAAACTAATATTTATAAGATTTCATATAACTTTTTCAAAATGTTATATTGATTATCTTTACATCAGAATGAGTAGAAAAGTCATTTACATTCTACTTTAAAAATGAATTTTATTTTTAAAAATTTTTCTTTAAATATTTTATATTTATGAACATATTATTACGAACATATTATTTTATATATTATCTTTTAATACGATGTAATTAGTTAACTAAAATTAATGACAGAGAGAAACAGACAATTTTGGTATATTTTTATTTCTCTAAGTACAACAATAGGGATATACTATTTTCGACTTGATATAATACAATATAGGGATATACTCTAGCATTCGAGCTCGTCTCAAAAGCTGCATATTTTCTTAAAATCTATTTTTATATTTGTAACTAGTAGAGGTTAAAGTCATAAAATTTTTATTTTCTAGGCGTATTTTTATTTCTCTTCTAAGCTGGCGATACATTTTTAGTTAAAAAAATTTCAATTTTCAAAATCGAAAGTTTTCAAGAGGTGTAAAAACACTAATTTTATTTATTTACTAATCTTTTCATTTATTAAATTTATTAATTTATTTATTTTTTAATTTACTTATTTATTTATTTATTTATTTTTCAATTTATTTATATATTAAGTTATTCATTTATTTATTTATCTATCTATCTGTCTATCTATCTATCTATCTATCTATCTATCTATCTATCTATCTATCTATTCATCCATCCATCCATCTATCCATCCATCTATCCATCCATCCATCCATCAATTTATTTATTTATTTATTTCGAAAGAGTTACTACAAAGTATTTTGATTTTTTTCTTTTTTGTTAAGGCAGTCATGTTGCAAGCTACTTTTCTTTAAGAGTGATTTCGGAAATTTTATATATTTTTTCCCTATAATTATTTCAAAGTTACTTCATCAACTCTATTTCTTATAAAAATTGTTTAAATAAAGCTTTCAAAAATTAAATAAGACAATGTTTTCAACAAATATGTATACTTACAAGTGATGAATAAAAAGTACAAATGGCTCCCAAAGATACGAGAGAAATTTCAAGTGACAAATCCGTGACAGCGCTAAGAGCTAGAACTGCCCCGTAGAGTGATATCACCATGTAAAATATCTAAATTATAAGCATGTGAAATTATAGTTATACATGTTAAAGTTATATAATAAAATATGACTTTTAAATCAAAAGTTTCAAATTACCATCTGTACCAAGAACAGAGTTGATATTATGTACCTTATCATCTTCCCATACCTTATTTCAAGAAACTGTGAGGAATTAATATAAAATTATAACATAAGTGTTAAAGTGATTAAAACTATTAAAATTGAAAATACAGTATAGTTATGTTATATGCGATAAAATTTGGTAAATATGATAAAATTTATTAATTTTGCAAAGATTATTTGGTGCATGGTAAAAAAACCGTTCATTCGGTTAAATTTACTTTTCAGTTTCGAATTTGTTAGTAAAAATGTGGTAACAAAATCTGATTTTGAAAAACAGAATTTCTGGTTAACCATTAACATATGAACAGAGTTGATATTATGTACCTTATCATTTTCCCATACCTTATTTCAAGAAACTAGAAGAATTAATATAAAGTTATAACATAAATATTTAAGTTATTAAAAACTATTAAAATTGAAAATACGGTATAGTTTTGTTATATGCGATAAAATTTGGTAAATATTATAAAATTTATTAATTTTGCAAAGATTATTTGGAGCATGGTAAAAAAGCCGTTCATTCGGTTAAATTTACTTTTCAGTTTTGAATTCGTTAGTAAAAATATTGAAACAAAATCTATAATTTTGAAAAACAGAATTTCTGGTTAACCGTCAGCACATGAGCAGAAAAATTACCAAATGAATGGTTTAAATACCATATATGTTGGTTTTATCGTAGAAACTTTTTTTTCTCCGAGTATAATTACCTCGTAAATTGTTGAAACACCACATCGAAAGTAAACGGGTATGAAAATCCATGATGCCAAAAACATGCCAATAGGAAACGTTAACGGAGCCAAAGACAACTCATATCCGTAAAGATAAACTTCAACTGGCGTTGAAAGCAATGTAGACGGTGATACTAGCGTAACTACAACTGACAAAACTACTGGAAGTTTAGTCATTCTTCTACCAGCAAGGATATATTCCTTTGCTGTCTTTTGTTGTCCAGCATATTTTCTTGAAACTATTCCAATAGATATCGAGATCAATAACGAAACACATATTACAATATAATCGACTGTACCCAATATCTGTTTTGTCACCATTTTTTTATTTAATTTTTCAACGAAGAATACTCTTTGCTTTTTGAACTTAAGTTAAAAGAAGACAAATAGAAACTGGAAGTACAATAATCAGAAAACGGTTGGGAAAATAAATAGGAGAAAGAATTAACTAAAAAAATAATGGCGTGGCAGTCAGGAAAAAAAAGCGAGCATAAATCTTCATTCAAAATATATTTTACTGTCGCCTTGAAAGAATGAAATATGCCAATGGTTGTAATTATGCTACCAGAGATAAGTATTTATCTTATCAATAACATATATATTTTTAAAGAATAAGAATTTCTTTAATTGCTACATTATTTATTTCGATTAAAAGTTCTTTTGCAGAAATAATTGTCGGTTAGTAAATAATATGTGTACATAAAAAAAGATATTTCCCAGCTCTTTGAATCCTTTAAATAATATCGTAACATTCATTCATAACTAATTGCTTTCTTTCACTTTAAATATTGATCTCATTTCGAAAAAATGAACTAATTTCTTTGCTTAACTATTCCCTAAAGACTGAAATTTTTTTGACATAAATAAAATTTTAAAGCAATATTCAGTTCTTTTTTCTTCCGGATTGGGTTTAAAATTGCAAGGCTAAAGAGTTTAATTTTGATAGTTGTAAACCCAGAATTGGATCGGGTGTTTAACGCCGTTTATAAAATAAGAAAAGCCTGGTTTAAAAAAAATATATTGCGAAGTTTTAAACCATTTGAAAACTAGTCATTGACAGTTGAACACATAAAGATATTCATTGGAAAGGGCTAATTGAATATATTTTGCATTGTGCAAAAATGTACTTTTATTTAAGCTCAAATAATTCGTTCTTTTCTTAATTGTTAAATACAAGAATTACATTTTGTTGTTTTCAGACAAGAGTTAGTTATAAATTAAGTAACTTACAAATTAAGTAGTTTTTTACCTTTAATAAGGATACTATTTACTTAAAATGGATATTATCATATCCTTCAAGCCATAAAATAATCATTTCAAGACTTAAAATAGCCTTAATATCAAGTTTTAAAACAGTTAACTGAAAGTCTTAGTAAATACTTGCAGTGTTTAGTTAAAGGAATTTGACGGGCTTACACAATTCTATGAAATTTTTAAATTCCTGTTAACATTCCGTTATCAAAATGAACAAAAAGTGAAAGATAGGATGGATAGGAATGGTTTGTTTTCATTCCAAACGTTGTAACGTCACTGACTTATGTATTGAAGTAAATGAAGTTACGCACTGTCAAGCAAGATGGTACCTAAGACTAACGATAAGGGAGTTTAAACCTCTCTTCAAGTCGAAATATTTGTGAGAATTTTGTTTTGTAAAAAATGACGCACTTAAAAATTAATAACAAGTTTAATTAAACTATTTACGTAAGTGAGTTTTTAATTTTTGTGTATAAATATTTATCTGACTCTCTTTCTCTGATACGTTTATAAATATGTCTTAATTTTGTACACTAATGCAGCAAAGATAGTTTAAAATTATAACTAAGCTTCAATTTTAAGAAATTCAAAATGTTGCTTTTTTTTATTTTAATTGGCGAAAGTGCTGCGAAAAAAATTTTTTATGGATAATTTGCAACTACTTTTGCTTAGCCCGATAGCACAAAAAATTCTAAGCGAATACCTGCCTTTTTAATGAACATTTCAAACATGTTATTCTTACGTTCATTACTATACTATTTCAAAATAATGTACAGTGCTCAAAAAAATTAAACGAACCACTCTGAATAACTTCGGATCTAATGATCAGATCTTTTCGTTCTAGGACTCAATCCAAATGGTTAGAGGGTGTGACTACAAATATGCTAATTATTAAGTGCAGACCATATTTCAAGTAATAAAATTAGACACAAAAACGTGATTTCTCAGAACAAACATACTTTTTTCGACGGATATGGTTTTCCGACCCCAAATTATAGGGGGGATATATAAGAATTCCGACCCCAAAATATAGGAGTCCTATTTGTTTGGTTAAGAGACCGATCCAAAGATTAGACCTCTTAATGTTAAATTAAGTTTTTTCGCATTTCACTATATTTTGAGAACTTTTTAAACGAATCGAGAAGTTTTTGCACACAATTATAAAATTTATTTATCCAAAGATAATGATACGCAAAAATAAACGTTTAGTATATATTTGATATTTTTTATAATTTTATTTAAAAGCAGACGAAAGAATTTTGAATTGTAAGGTATACGTATTTCTACATCATTTAAAAGAATGAAAATTTGCATAGCAAAATATGAAATTTGAGCGGAATCTCACCTGATAAACCGAATTTTAAAAATTCTTCTTTTTCAAAAATCAATTTCTCTGGAACAAGTCGGCCGATTTCGCCTTGAAAATTTGCTTAGCAAGTGCATTTTTTAAAATGATGTAAATTTTTTTATACCATTCAAATTCAAAATTTACAGTTCAAGTTTTTTTCAACTATTATTAAACGAAATAATTAAAAATAATATATATTTGCTAAAAGTTATATTTTCCTTGGAATTATCTTCGGATAAATGTATTTTATAATTATGAGCAAAAATTTCTCAATTTTCTTAAAAAGTTCTGGAGATATGGCGAAATTCGCCAAAAGTAAAATTAACTTTAAGGGGTCGAAACTGTGGATCACTCGCCTGACCAAATCAATTGTTTATTCTGAGAAAGTACGTTTTGTGTCTGCTTTAGTAACCCTGAAATATCTTCTGCACAAATTAATTAGCATTTTTGAGATAAGCCTCTAGAAACATTACGATTGAGTCTTTGTACGTGAAAATCTGATTATTTGATCAAAAGTTATTCAGGTTGTTTTAATTTTTTGATGCACTGTACAAAATAAATAAATACTTTGGATAACTTTTAATCTATTTATCAGATTTTCACGTACTAGAACTTAATCGTAATGTTTCGAGGTGGTTGACGTCAAAACTGCTAATTAGTTAAGGCAGACGATATTTTATGTTACAAAATAAGAAAAACATACTTTCTTTGAATCTCGATCCTTTCTACGGATTATGATTTCTGACTCACAAAATACAGGGGTAGCCGTAATTTGGGAAATATGGTCCTGATTGTTTGGTCAGAAGAGCTGTCGAAAACTTGGACTCCTCAATATTAATTTTACTTTTAACGTATTTCTCCATGTTTCGAGTACTTCTTGAGCGAATACAGAAATATAAAATTCGTTTATCAGAAAATAACTTCCTACAATAAAAATTTTTTAATAATTTTTTTATTATTTTCTTTATTTTCTTTAATTATCATGAAAGATAAACAAAACTTTACATTTTTTTACAGAATGTAATTTCATATGGCAAAATACGAAATTTAAATTAAATCGGTCAAATATTTCCTGGATAACCCAAACTTAAAAAATTCAGACATTTAGTTCATCATTAGATTAAAAGGTATTCACTGCTTTTCTTATCTTTCTTTTATTTTTGTGCACTGCACAATTTTCAAGCATCAATCGTAGAAGTGAATGTAGAACGTGTTTTTACGATGTACAGTAGAGTGCCGATTAACCGGACCAATTGGGACCAAACCTGATCTGAATAATCCGAAAAATCCGTGTAATTGGTCAACTTTAAGAAACGGCTTTTGAGAAAGTTTTTAAGTAACTACCTTTCATTCTTATCCCAGGCATAGGATTAGCAGTTGTATCATATTGCGAATGGCGTGATTAACAGCTTGAGATTTTAATAATTTAACTTGAAATTTGTTCCGTTAATCGAAACTACTTGCCACCTGTATTGAAACGGGGCAGAAAGGACCCGAGGTTCTTTTCAAGGTCACCTAAAAACAAGAAAAGCTGTTTTTCGACCTTACATAATTCTGAAAATAAATATTTAATATGAAGTAATCTTTGAAAATAATATTTTGTTATAATTCTGAAAAGAAAAAAAAAAGCATTTGCACGTTTTTTTTTTTTGTTTCAAAAAGAAGAAAATGGAATAAAACACTTGGACCTAGAACAATCCGGATAATTGAACTGTACTTATACGTATAACGTAACGCACTTTAAATATGACAGGTTTTTATGAATCAGAACAAATATAGTTTTGAAAGACGCTAAAAATTGTTTACTGTGGTAATATAAACTTATATTATGAAATATAAATAAAAAGTTTCATTACTTTTATAAATTATTTTATTTTAAACAATTTTATTTTTAAAATAAATTATTTTTTAAAAAAAATTTTATTTTTGAAATAAACAATATTATTTTTGAAATGATTACATTTCTGGGAGAAAAAAAATCACTCACAACTTGCAGCATAAAGTTCTCTTAATTTCTAAAATCTTTATTTTCCGGAATGTAAAAATTAATTTCTCGAAAAGGAAAATAGCGCAAATTTACTGTGGTAATATAAACTTATATTATTAAATATCACTAAAAAGTTTTATTACTTTTATAAATTATTTTATTTTAAGCAATTTCATTTTAAACAATTTTATTTTAAAAAATTTTATTTTTGAAATAAACTATTTTTAAAAAAAAATTTTATTTTTGAAATGAACAATATTATTTTTGAAATGATTACATTTCTGGGAGAAAAAAATATCACTCACAACTTGCAACATAAAGTTCTCTTAATTTCTAAAATCTTTATTTTCCGGAATGTAAAAATTTATTTATCGAAAAGAAAAATAGCGCAAATTTACTGTGGTAATATAAACTTATCTTATGAAATATCACTAAAAAGTTTTATTACTTTTACAAATCATTTTATTTTAAGCAATTTCATTTTAAACAATTTTATTTTAAACAAATTTTATTTTAAGCAATTTTATTTTAAACAATTTCATTTTTAACAATTTTATTTTTGAAATAAATTATTTTTAAAAAAATTTTTTTTTTTTTTTTAAATAAACAATATTATTTTTGAAATGATTACATTTCTGGAAAAAAAATCACGCACAACTTGCAACATGAAGTTCTCTTAATTTCTAAAATCTTTATTCTCCGGAATGTACAAATTAATTTCTTGAAATGGATATTAAAATAGCACAAATTTACATCCGAAATGTTAAATCATAATTTTCGTCTTTCTCATTTTCTTTATTAACATCATTCAAATTTGGAGTTTTTGGTTTATTCCAAATTCGAGTAACCGGACTGAGGCACAGTGAGTCTTCGGGAATGACATTCTTTCTCCAGCCTAAATAAAAAAAGACAAAGAATAAAATAAAAACTACGAACTCTATCACTTGAAGTATTAAGCACAAAATATTACGTGAATGCCTTAGATGGGCTCACAATAAAACTTGTCAAAATTAGAGACAAAACTTATCAAATATTATAATTGGGTACAGATAGCAAAAGTGTTTTAGAAAATAGATAATAGTTCTTATTTTAAAAAAAACTGATAAAATGTTTGTTTTAATTATTGATAACTGCACAGCCATTTCAGCAAAATGATTATATCAATTGAACCAAAAATGTCAATTCGTAATTCCTATTTAGCATTTTAAAAATTTTGATTGCAACTGTAGTGTATCTACCAGTACAAAAATACCATACCAATTCACTAGTATATAAGACATGTTAACTCGATTCTAGACAAGTTTATCTTTTCATAGATGAAGGTTGACATTGTCGACATTCCCGATAGCAACTCACCCCGGATGTGTTATGGACAAGCCTACCTTATCAGAAACTCCTACTTCGATCTGAACACGCCTTTCTTCACAGTAACTCCTACTTCGGTTTGAAACGCCTACTTCGATGGATGGTCCACATTGAACAGTTGACTTGTGACTGCGACATTATCCAGCTCCTCACGCTGTTGCTACTCAGTCTCGATCACACATGGCCTGCATACACTCGATTGCTAATAGCAACACAGGAGCAACCACGACCGTGAACCTAATACAGCACTCACGATCAGCATTCAAAAGTACGGTGATCTCAATACAGCTCTCACGGCTTTTCACAAAACAGCAATGAATCAACTAGTGGTGTCCGTTCATCGAAATCTATCACAGATATAATTCCGGTAGGGGAGTACTGAAGCTATACCACTACAAAAACACAATTCCAATTCAGTAGTATAAGACATGTTAACTCGATTCTATGTAGGGGTACCTTTTCATAGATGAAGGTTAACGTTGTCGATATCTACTCTCCCTACATCAACAATTGTGAAAAAATAAGTTTATGTTTAATTCATTTTCAAAATTAAACTATTTAAACTATATAAATTACTTTTAGAATCATTTTGAATTCAGATCATTATAAACAAAAGAAGCTTTTAGTTAAAAAGCTTCTTTTGTTTATAATGAATTTCATTTATTATATTGAAAAATACTCTAACTGCTGGAGGATTTTTGCAATTAATTTTTTCTCTGCAAGAAAACCTTGTTTTATTTTCGGACAAAAAAAGCTTCGTAATTAACAACAAATTCTTTTGAAAATCTTATAAGATATAGCTTTTCGAGTTAATGAACTGACGGAAGCTTGAGTCTATGCGTTATGACGATGTTAATACAAATTGGGTTTTTCGATTCCAAACCATCAAAGCAGTTCATTTTAAGTTGTTCGTTTTAATAATTTGTTTTTAAAAAATTTGATGTACGAAAGTACAAATTTCTTATGTTAAAAAATCTGAAATGTGTGTAAGGCCAGATTTTATTTGTTACAAAAATTTAATGTATGCAATTACAATTTTTTTTTAAAAAAAAATTTGATGTGTGTAAGTGCATTTGGGTATTGTGATGTGTGTAAGTGCAAATATTTAAACATTTTATACGATTTTTATTAATCTGCAAATTTCGCCAAAAAAAAGAACAATTATAAATGAAAAACTTGAAACAAGCAGTGATTAGTGCACATTTTTTCAAGCGTGATATTTTTAAAACGAACTGTTATTTTATATTATTTCCAAATAGATACTTCAAAATCTGATATATATAATTCTCTTACGTGGTTCCCAAATTTTGGCTGTATTTCTTTTCCTCCGGTGGCAACGTTTGCCTTGTTTTGTTTACGTTACGCGTCTCTTACACGGCGAATCGACCAATGATTGCCGCTAAAAATGTCACATGCCAAATCTATCTGAGGTGGCTCAGCATATAGCGCTTTTAAAAACGGAAACGGAAATAACCAGAGGACATCAGCTGCGGCAATCTCATACTATTAAGCTAGGCAGAAGTGAGTAGTCTTTGTCGATAGATCTCTATTTTAGTATTTTGTCGAAAGCGCTTTTTTTCACGAATTTATATATTACGAATTTATTTGACGATTTTTGATTTATATCACGAATTTATTTGTTTTACTAGAATTTATTTGTTTATGCAGGTTTTTCCATTGCAATTCACTTATTTCAATTTTTAATAGACTTAATTATAGCCAAAATTTTAACCTTTTTAAAGAGATATCAGTTTTAGAAATTTTATCTTAAGATTTTATACTATAGCACATTTCTAATAGGTTTAACGAATTACATGTCATTTATTTGAATTCAAATTTATTTTAATGACTTAGTATTTACTAAAAAGATGTAATTTTTTTTTTAAAAAAAAGTTGTTATATGGATTTGAATGATTGTTTTGAATTCTTAGAATTTTGTGCATTTGCAAAGTACCTAAGTTGGTAGCGAGCGAAGCGAGCTTGGTTTGCGAAGCAAACCATATAAGATTGCGTAGCAATTTTCGGCGGTTGGCGAGCGTTAGCGAGCAGGGGGCGCAGCCCACTAGTATTATGAAATTTGAATTCGAAGGCAATGGAATGGACAGAAACTTCTCAATGCCTATATGGATATAAAGGTGTTTTGCCCAGGACCTTTCATGAAAATGCTATCCTGATTAAATATAATATTATAGTAAGCTCTCTAATTGTTTTAATAGATTTTAAAAATAAAAATTTCGACACTTAGACTAGATTAATTTTTCAGTTTTGAACACTCACTTTTAAAATTATAATTGTTAAAATACTTTACCTGTTGCAAGAATGGTGATAAAAATAACAGCTTGAGTTAGAACAAATCCAATGAAACAATACCACAGGAAAGATATTTTATATAAATAAAAAGTATCCCTAAAAACAATTAAAAAAATATGTTAGGCTTAAATAATAAACGTTGCTTCAAAAGTCGGGGGTGAAATATAATATATGACTTTTATTTGTATTTATTCCTTAATGAATAATAATTATATTTTTGTTAATTTACACAATTAGCAATATTGTTAATTAATTAAAAATAATTTAACTCTTTTGCTGATTCACATTCATTTTTATTGTTAAAAATATTCAATGCATGATAATAATGATGGTTCAAGAATTAGATTTATTACCAATTAATTTCTGTAGAAATATTGATGTTCATGCATAGTTTTAAAATTCACTTACAGTAATTTTAGAACATTTTTAAATAATTTCAATATCAGAGAAAACTGCGTCACATTGATGATTGCTTTTATAAAGTAGTAAAATCAAACATTGCCTAATCTAGTGTCATAAGAAAACTAACAAAAAGAACTGACACTTCACGAACGCAAAAAGTAACGCACCAGACTTCTACATTGTCTGAAATATACCTTATCAGATGGCTCATACATCTGAGTTATCGGTCAATATTAAGCAAAATGCTGTATCTGTAAGTTTGAATTAAATTTATCGTTATTATCATATGTTTGTTGTTTCATTTACAACATATATTTATACCCCAGTTTGCGTTGTCTGGTCTATTGCGTATTCTAGTCGGCGTGGACAGCCTCACCATGCTAAGGACTGGATGTCTGATCGAACTGTCTCTGAACATGCCTCAGTGGATCAGAATTCCCTCTAATGTAAATGTCCCCATCTGTTTCAAAGACGGAAAAGTCCACATTTAATTTGAAACTATGGTGCGCAGGCCGGATAGTTACTACCACCATTCGTTGTCCGGTCTAAATTGTTGTAAACAGTAAATAATTCTCGATCAAATCATGGTAAAAAGTACTGACATCTTTGAGTGCAGCATTCATGAAATCTATTTTGTCATAAAATCCATTTTGCTCGGGAAATTTTATACCACCATGTTTACAGTAATATTTAATTAATTAGACTGATTCAGAGATTTTATATTAAATACTACTGTATAAAAGTAATGGATTTATCATTTTGGGTAAAACTTAACTGTAAAAATGAAATTTACAGTAAAAAGTACTGGTGCCCTGAATGTCAGTAATTTTTGCCGTTATTTGATCCATTTTTCTTCACGTTTCTGTATTGCAAAGCACGCATGCGCTAGAATTATTTTCTGATCTCATGAAGGATTAATTTATCTCAGACAGTCACAAATAGTCCATAAGTCTAACTCTAATGTGACGTCAACAACTAAGCAAATATTTAATAGTTGTCAGTAAACAAAAAATATTATTTTTTGTGTATTTTGGAGCAATTATTAAAAGCTGATTTATCTTAGAATTTTAATTTTAATTTTTAAGCGCAGCTGCAAATATTTTTAGAAATAGATAGCATAGTGTCATAATCCTCAAGGTAAATTGTAAAAATACCTATAAAATATTAATAAGGCCTATTACTATTCTAATGAAACAATAGTCGAAAATACAGGAAACTTATTTATTTAACTCCTTGCGTCTCAATATATCTATAAATATGATTATTTTTATTTACTGTACACTGTAAAAATATTCCGGATCATATTACGGAAAAAAGTTCTTCCACCCAGAGTGTAATTTCCACGGTAAAATTTTACGGAGCAAAAATATTTGATAAATCATAGTTTTTACAGTAATATATACCGTATATTTACCGCATAATATAATAATATTTACTGTATATTACTCTAAAGTTTCCGGTAGTATAATTTTACGGTAAAAGTGCATTTTACGGTTGCTGCACTCAGGGTGTCGTACTTTTTACACTAATTTTTTCCAAAAAATTTTACAGTGTATTTCACTGAACATGAGAATTAGATTAGTTTTTATTATGTAGAAGTATTCTACTTCGGTTGTCTCTCTTTTTGCTGTAAGACTGTAAAGAACATTATAAACTATTGCAGCTCCTCAGCTAGCAATAAATAAAAGTGATTAATGGGTCTACATTGTATCTAAAGGTAAAGAAAGTTATTACAGCAGCTGTAATATTTATTTTAAAGCCCTACATCATACAATTACTTTGTAATATTATTGATATAGAATAACATACTTACTCTGTTGGCTTTGCTGTTTGGGAAATACTAGATGTACAATTTCCCGTAGTTGTACATTCCAAAAATGCAATGTCCGTTTGAGAACTAACATTCCTAGATGGACACATATCAATGCTAAGTGGCAATGGAGGTTGGACATATTTGGAATTAAGTGATCCGAACCCAATCCACGTCATTACTATGTAACCCACAATCAGAGAGAAAGAGATACTCTGAAATACATTACATTTATTTTTGAAAAATACACTACTTCTAAGTAACTATTACATGATTTTTAATATTTAGTTCTCAAACATGTAAACTTCTCATTATTTTCTCAACAATACTCTTTTTACATTTACTTCAATAACGTTAAAAAAGTAATTTTAAATTATTTTCATGTTCATGTTTATTTTCCAAATTATAAACATTTATCTTAAAAATGATCGAAAGTATAAAAAATTTTTGATGACTACCAAATTATCTTTTTTCTTTTCTCTCATGTAATAATTTTTTTTAAGTTATTGAAAGCGTGGGAAAAATTTAATAATATATATTGTTAAAATTTTTACAATGAGTTCAGGACAAAAATTAATTAGTTTATTCAATTTTTTTTTATAAAAGAGTAATAAATTAATGCAATTTTTGCATGGCTGCGTATTTGGAATTATTCCTTTTTATAGTGCGATAAAAAATCAAGAAAAAAATTATTAACGCCAGTTATAATCAATAAGTAGTTATAATTAATTAAGTTATAGTAATAAATTGACAAAATTTTTGCATGCATGACAAAATATTTGGAGTTATTCCTTTTTTTAGAGCCATAAAAAATCAAGAAAAATGTTATTGACGCCAGTTATATTTAATTATCATCCATGTACAATAAAAATTGTAATGTAATACCTATCCGAATTTGGAGCTATTTTAAATTAATAAAGATTCAAGCATTCACACACGCTTCATAGAGTATAATTAAATCTAAACTCCAAAAATTAATTAGAAAGCTTATGCTAAGATCAGACGCATTTATTCCATTCATGGATAAATTATTTTGCGCCAATTTTGTCGCCAGATGATCTATATTTCGCTTGTGCAATCCATCAGAGAGGATGAAAGTTAGATTTTTCCTCAGAAGTAATCTGTTATAAAAAGGTTAGTATGCTTTTAGTCATACAGTGCACACAAAAAACGAACCACGCTGAATAATTTTGATCTAATCATTGGGTTTTGACGTTCTAGGACTCAATTTTGGTGGCTCAAGGGGTGACCTCAAATATTCTAGTTAATAAGTGCGGACGATATTTTATGTTATGAAATCAGACACAAAAACGTATTTTTTCTGAATAAACGTACCTTTTTTTCTATGAAACCGGATTTCTGACCCTTAAAATATAGGGAGTTGCTCCCATCTGGGAAATATGGTCCCAAGTTTGATCAGGAGTGTGCTCCAAAGTTTGGACCCCCTAACGTTTATTTTACTTTTTGCGTAATTAGCCATATCTCGAGAACTTTTAAATCGCATTGAAAGACTTTTACACACAATTAAAAAATTCGCTTATCCAAATATAATTCCATGCAAAAAATAATTTTCATTTAATATTTATTATTATTTTATTTATGAATGGTTGAAAAATCTTTTAATTGCAAGGTATACAATTTTTTGCATCAATTTTAAGAATGCAATTTTATATAGCAAGGTACAAAATTTGAGCAAAATCGGTCGAATAGTTCCTGAGAAATCGAATTTCAATGAAGTCAGGTACTCAGAATTTGATTTCTTAGGAATTCAGCCTTGTTCGATTTCACGATAATATTCTCTTCTGCACTGGATGTTTGTTTGAATAACAAATTTGATTAATTTAAAAAAATATTGTATAGGTGTATCCTAAATTAATGTTTCTTACTGTATATTGTATTGTAAAAATTATTTTACTAACTATTTCGCGTGTAGTATCTTGCTGAAATATAATTAAAAACTTTAGAGTTACTGAATAATGATTACCATACTTTGCATCTTGTAGTGTAAAAGAATATTCTTTTTGCATAGGGAAACACTTATAACGAAAAGTTCTATATGGTGTTTTACTGCACCACTTTGGCGTAAACTAGTTGGTCTCATTTTTTTCGTGAAGATACAATCACATTTGTTACAGTATGATAATATCTACTGTTGGTACTATGGCAGTAGCTACAATGGTAATAGGTATTCAATATACTAATATAGTTTCAGCGCTAATAGGTTTCTCAACGCTCTCGGACTTGGAATAATGACATATTTTTCCTTTAAAATTTCTTATTTTAATATTTATAATAACAATTTTGAAAAAATTGTTTTGTTTGGACAAACCGTTGGTCAAAAATAGTGGTGAACAAAACCTAAAGTATGCATAAACTGAGCATTGCTAATCTCTCACTTGTTATAAACCCGAAAATACCTTGATAAAGTTAGCGATAAATAATAAATGCTTGAAGAACTTTTTACTAACAATGGATTCATCTTCAGGTTTGAACCATTTCCCAGTATGCATTTGTTCGGTATTTCCTACATTGATGCTTCTAAGGACTATTGTCCTATTTCCAATTTTTTAACCAGTTTCCTCTCATAAACTAATTTGAATCTCAATCTTAATACATACTTTTATTTCTCCTTCCACTGTTCTTCTTTTTTCAATTTGAGGTTTTGTTCGTTAAAACTTCGATATTTGCGATTTTTTCCATCCCGGTTTTATCCAGGAAACTAAAGTTACGTAAAATTCCTGTCCGAGTTTCCTATTTTTTTCTTTCAGCTGGGATACCGTTTTACAAAATACTATTCATTGTAGTAGTACAAGGACTTCAAACGTAGCATTAATAAGTATTTTACCTTATCACCTCCTTTCCTTGTTAAAACTCCTGTTAGAAATACAGCCAACATAGGTCCTTCTAATGAATTAAGCATAACATTTAAGAGTTGCACAAGGCTTCTAACTTCGAGGAAACAGAAACTTAATCCAATGCTTGCACAACCATAAACAACACCTAATAAAATAATAATTAAAAAATAATTATCTTAACTCTTACTAAAATGCATCACGTAACTTTAAGCAAGGCATTGCAGCTACAACCCGTTGTGAGCCAGGGATTACATGGTAAATGCATCACAATTTTGTGACCAAAGTCATGATTGTGGCAATGTGGTCAGCATTGAGCATTTTAAATTGAGCATTCCGGCTACAACCCGTTGTGAGGAACTGGGGTTATAGAGGTTAAAGCTCCACACTTTTGTTACAAACGACATTATTGTGACAATGTGGTCAGTATTGAGCATTTAAAGTTAAACATTCCGGCTACAACCCGTTGTGAGGAACGGAAGTTATAGAGGTTAAAGCTCCACACTTTTGTTACAAACGGCAGGATTGTGGCAATGGGGTCAGCATGGCAAACACGTCTCATTTACTTTCCAGGCAAGCTGGGACCCATCAATATGAATATGTTTGGACTTCAAGTTGCCATTGGGGATTGAAGCCCAGTTCTTCATTATGACTGTTGAGTGCCTTAATCACTGAACCATCGTAGTTCATCACGTAACTTAAAATTCAAATATTTAGGTCGAGCTTGATTTTTGACTACTTTGTGCCAAACATGATAAGATGTTAACAGGAAGTAATATACTAAATTGTACAGTTACAACATCTACACAAAATTAGAATAAAAAAAAGCATAAGTCTTAAGAAAATGCACGCTTTTATTAATATCAAAATTAGTTTTCACGCAAAAAACTTTGTCCTAACATATTGAAAATATATACGACGGAAACTAAAATCTAATTATTATTCTTAAGATGTGTTTTCTAGAACACAATTGCTAGTTAATAAATTAAAGTAAGAAAATATTAACTATTGGGAGTACAAATTCGTCCGGTTTTCAAAAGATGGCTCTGGCTGTTATGAATGTTTCATAGTAACGGCTAGTTTCGGTAGTTTCAGAGAGGTTAGACATCTGTCAATGATATTCAGTTTATATCGCTTTGAGTTTCATGCAAAAGCACAATTTGGCAGGTCATCGGTTCACGTCTTTAGCAGGAATCGAAAATTGGCTCCTAACTTGGATCGCCTCAAAAGACGAGACATTTTTTCGAGATGGAATTCGAAAATTGCCTGAGAGGTGAGAAAAAGTAGTAGCCAACGATGGACAATACTTTGATTAATCTGTTCATTCATTTTGGTTAAAAATAAATGCCCTTTTGAATACAAAAAAAATGGAATGAACTAATTTGTGCTCCCAATAAAATATTGCAAAATGTTATTGCATACATTCTAGCTGGGATAAAAGAGAATATTTTCAATATTGTTAAATAAGTGGTGCTCACATAATATTTTTACCAACCATACTGTTTTGACATCAGAAATTTCTCCTCTCTTGTACAGAGGTTTAATGAAGTCGACAACTGTTACAGTAGCAGCGGAATTCAGGCACGATGAAATGGTGCTCAGTGAAGCGCTGAAAAGACCTGCTATACAAATACCAGTCATACCAGGTATAGAACTGAATTTTTTAATCATGTAATCTGGAACAATCTAAAATCAATACGAAATAGTTATTTAGGATTGAAAACACGAACATGTTATTTTAAATAGATGGTTACTTCAATATCTTTCTCCTCCAAAATCTAAGTTTTCTGAAAACAGGTGAGCGAATTATTCATTCTATAAATCACATAATAATGACGAAATTTAATTTTAGCAAACATGCTTTATATTGTCTGTATGATACAAAATTGTCTCGAATAGGATGCCGTTAGTTTTAAAAAAAATTAGCTTATTCCCTCCATTTTTCAAGTGAGTGAATTATGGTATTTAGAGGCATATTTTAAAACTTTTTAATCCAAAAATTTAGACTAAAGGGTTAATGTCCTTAAGGGAAGTTGGTTGGGCATTGTATATCAATAATGTTAAAAACGGACCTTTGTCGATGTACATTTTTTAAGATACTACTTATGATTTCGCTATGAAATTTTTTGGGGATATTTGAGATTATATCAATTGTATGCTGTGGGAATGTTTTAGCGTTAACAGGTGAAACTTTGAAAAACATTAAAAGTTATAAGTTCATAATTCTGTTAAAACATTTTCTGAAAAAAATATGTATTAACAATTATCATAGAGTAAACATGTATAGGTAAATATAAGAACTGAAGCAATATCATATTTAGGAGCTGAGAAAAGGTACATCGAAAAAAATCAGTTTTAGCATTATTTGTATACGCTATACCGACTTCCGTTAAAGTTTTAAATTAGATGGTTAAAAGTCACTCCAAATGAGGCTTCTTTTTTATTTATTACATCGGTGGCTATCTTTCCGATACACTAATGCAAAGTGTTCAAACTAAAAAAAGAAGAAAAAACTATCATAACGTTTGATCAAATAATCAAATGTTCACGTAATAAGAAGCTATTGTTATTGTTTACAAAGCTTACTTCAAATATTTTGCTGAATTTGTGCACATCATGTTTAAAGCTACGAAATCATTTACAGATAGAGCTGACAAACTTTGAACTCCTTAATATTAATTTCTCTTATTATGTATTTCCCCATATCTACATTTTAACTTTTCAAAAAAATTTTGCATACAATTATGAAACTCATTTTTTCCAGAAAAAGGTCCTCATAAAATTTTCTTATATTTACAAATTTTTATTATTCATTTTATTAATGAATAATTTCAATTTAATAAAATAGTATATATATATATATATATATATGTGTGTGTT